AATAACTGATGTTAACTGGAGCTAGGAAACACTGACGTTACTATCATCATCCATAACAAGCTATCTTAACTTCAACAGATAATAGATCTGTGCAGCACGTTACCTCTGTGTCTTTTTCACATTTTTCTTCCTCTTCTTCTGTTTTGTCCCTGGGCTCCGGAGAGCTTTGTTGTTGTTTTTTCCATCACGGTCATTTATAAACGTGATATTATTATTATTATTATTATGATATTAAATAATAGCATGAAAATGATATTAGATAAATAATATTTAGTGATATATAAACATATTTTTACTTCTATTTCTTCTTCTCCAGCGGCGCCCTCTATGGAGGCTGGCGCCCCCTATGGAGGCTGGCGCCCCCTATGGAGGCTGGCGCCCCCTATGGAGGCTGGCGCCCCCTATGGAGGCTGGCCGCCCATAGCATTTGCCTATACTGCCTATGCCACGGGCCGGCCCTGCTGAGAACTTTATCCTCTGCTGATCAGCCATTGGTGCAGTTGGCCTTAAGATTTTCACACTGGAGTGCCTTGTGGTTACAGCACATGTCACATAATCATAACTCCAACCAGGGTCCTTTGATGAATTGACCGTTTTTCTCTTAGTAGTCCAACAATAAATAAAAAGCCCCCAAAATAGGAAGAGTTCAGACTGTTTACTTGCTGCCAAGTTTGAGACTGCAGCGAGTCTTATTTTAGATGATGTAATAATAATAATAATAATAATAATAATAATAATAATAATAATAACAATAATTATAGCCAGTAAAGGGACCCAAAATAGACCCCTGTGGGACCCCACAAGAAAAAGGAGCATCAAGATTTACAGAAAAATACCTATTTCCTAGATAGTAAATGAAGCAGTCCTTTCACCCCAACAGTACTTCAGACGGCTAATTAAGACATTGTGATCTATAAAAATCTCAGAAACTTTTACACATTCATCTCACTAGGCTTCTTACATTAACTTTAGCCTACCTTTTGTTAGGGTAATTTTAATGCTATTAAGTATTGTGTGGAAGGATTCTACACTTTTTAACATTACTCTTTAGGCCTATGTCATTTCATTTTATTTTATTTCTAACACTTAACTTGCCCATCATTGCCATTTCTGTGGCATATTTCTTTTCTTTGGTGGGTTGTAAGTGTAACAGAGCTTATTATATCAATCCAAAGAGCAATATTAATGACGTTGTATTGTCTTTTTTACTGATTCATAAAAATAAAGAGAAATGTAGGAAACTCAGCTGGTGCCTGGAATAGATTCATTTTCAAGAACAGTAGGCATGTTAAAGACATGAATATCTAACACATTTAAATAGGCCTATACAAATCTTTATTCTAATTAGCATCAAGTGATTTTTCTTTGATTTGAAGCATGCCTATTTCTGAGTTGAGTCTACCAGCTCTCATCATCTCCTTACCAATAACCTATAAAGCAGGTGGTGGCCATGTTCTCAAACATGTCCGCCCACCTGCACCTGGCAGCTAGCAAAGTTAAAATCCATCTATTTTCCTTACAGTTTAGATTAAAATGGAACTCAAAAGTGTTACTTTTTTTTTTCAGACGGCTTCAAACTCAGCTCAAAATGGATGCTAATTGCTTCTCTGTGTCACTGGTTTCGTTTTAGGGTGAAAAGTGTTCACTCAAGGTAAATATATTATTCTATAAAGAATACACTAACTCTGTACAGGTCTTTTAGGCTACTGTTTGGCAGAGCACGTCCAATATGAAAAACATCGATTAAAAATACTACCGGCCTACTGGTATGCTAACAGAATGAAGGAAGAAGGTAAAGTAATACTTCATTTTGATTTATTTGGAAAACCATTTCTTCTGGAATCTTCTCAATAACCTTAATTATTTGAAACAGCTCCTGCAATTAACCTGCATGTGAAAAATATTATAGTCAAACAATTAACTTATCTAACAAATCAGGCATGAATCGTTGGTAGAAATAACATAATTAAAGCAGCTGAGCGGGCTCTGCTGTGGCATGTCAAAATATCAGAAAGCTTACAGCATCCATCAGAATTAAACATATGACATATGAGGAAAAATCCATAAAGAGTTGAGTTGAAATGGAACATACGCCTCTCTGTCATGTGTACCACCTGAGTTAGTTTTTGTTTTTTGAACAATGTATTTGTTTGCCATACACAATTGTTGGACAGATGGTGTTTTATAATCTTCAGATGACAATCAACAGGCAGCACACACAGTCAGTAATAACAGCATCTCAATCAAACAATCAATAGCTTGTATTAGGCCTACTGAATTTACATGGAGTTAATATTTTGTGACTAAAATATACATATTTCATATACATTCAAGTTGTTTTGATAAAATGTATTTTTATAGATAACATGGCAGCTAGACCTTTATTGTGCATGATGTACACGATCATGTACATTATTATTGTTACCAGTGAAATGAATGGTTCATTTTGATTCTCAATCGTTTTCTAACTAGGTCCGTTTGTTTGATTTCCCTGATTAACCGTTTCTGAAGTTTGTCACACAGATAAATGTAAAACATAGAATAGCTGCAGCTGCTTTGTTCTTTGCACTCTTTGGTTGGGTAAAGGAAGCTACTCCATTGTGAAGACTTATTGCTTTTCAGATTTTTCTGACACCACCCAAATGCATTCTGGGATTTTCCAAATTAGGCTTAATGCCTCACATGAGTGGAACTGACAGTTGGGATGAGATGAAATATGGTGAACCCAGGTATCTTAGTCATTTTCTGCCTTTTTCTAGGTTTTGTAGTGCAGTGTCTCAACAACAATTGGTTGGATTGTCATGGAATTTGGCGCAGAAATTCAAGAGCCCCAGAAAATCAGCCATTGTGACTTTGTTTAAATGTCTCTTCTGCTACTTTAAAAGCAGAGGTAGAAGTCATTTTCATCAATTTGATGATTCTTTGAGTATTTAGCGCTGCAAAAGTTGAATTAATGGTTATTATTATTCCCAGATATGTTCATTAACTTAAGCTGTACTTGTGATCCTGTTTGGCCTATAGGTTTTGGTTTTATGCAGAAGAACAATCTGTGTGGCGATACGCATATTGCGCTGGCTGTTATGCAATCTCAGAACCCATTAGCTATCACTGAACATCAGTCACGCTTTCATGTCTCTTCAAACACTTAACCGCGTGATTGCAGATACGATCTCCTAACTCCTTTCTCAGGTTGCTCGTGAGAATGTAAATCTGCACCTTATTTCTATTCTTATATGTAAATACATGCTGCTGTTTTTTTTTTTATCCTGCACTACAACGAGCCAAATGCAACGAAATGTCGTTCTTATCTGCACTGTAAAGTACAAGTTTGAATGACAATAAAGAAAGTCTAAGTCTAAGTCTAAGACAATCAGTGGACAGAAGTGAATACCCTAGCCTGGATGTCTAACATGAGTTATGTGGATATCTACCAGCTGTGCCAAAAGCCTCAAAATGTTGGCAGTCAGCACCAAAATTGGCGTCAGATAGATGATGGGTTTCAAGAGTGCCTGCTAGGCAACCACATTTTAGCACTCTTATTATGATCATTTTGGCATATTGATGTCAGACTTTGGCTAGCTGTGTCCCATCCCATTATGCCTATAAATGTGGCTGTACAAACTGTTCATTTTGCATGCGTGACACAAATACCAACAGATTGGGTGCACTATTCACTTGTATGCCTGTTGCTTTGCTGATGCTAATTTTTGGGTTGACCATGAAGCTTCTTCTGTTGACTTTACTTCCACTCTTGATAAGATCAACCCTCAGCAATCTCCAGACATGTTAACCCTAAAAATAATTTTAAAAACAAAGACCCATACTGAAGTTCTATACATGATTATTATCTTTAACATATAAAATGTGTGCCCAGCATAAATACTCTTTTTCTCTCCCTGTCTCGTTAGCATGCAGAAAGGACACTGTGGTTTTGACACATTGAGGTGGCCCGGCTATTTTCACACTTGACAGAGCATCACATGTAGACATGGCATGGAGGGGAGAGAGGAAGCCTGCCATTGACGACAAGAAGAAGATCAAAGCTGGAAAAAAGAGAGGACTCCTAAGATTCTGTTACGTCAGAACTTCTTTTGCTCCCAAAACACACACACACACACACACACACACACACACGCAGTCGCTCTCAAAAGTTCACTCATTATCAGCTCTCTTTTCCCTCTCCCACCCCCCCGTTTGAAACACCAATCTCTCTTCCTGTCACACTTTCTCTGTATCCTGAGGTTTTTCCTTCCTGACTTTGTTTCTTCCTCCTCTCCCAACCAGTCGGTCCCAGAACTGTGTGTTTTTCTTGCCTGTCTTTTTATCTTGTCAGCGGCTGCTTGATGGCATTTAAATTCTCTTTCCCTGTTATTCTGTTTTCCCTCCACACTCTCCGCACCTCTTCTTAGTTTTAGCACAGCTGTTACAAACACTCTCACTCTGTAACTTACTATCGCTTTGTTTTTTTTATATACACAAACTAAATCACACACACACACACACACACACACACACACACACACACACACACACACACACACACACACACACACACACACACACACACACACACACACACACACACACACACTTCTTCTTCCTCTCTTCACTTCTGCCAGTTTCACACTCTCTTCTATTTCTCTCTTATGTAAATTTCCCTTCTTTTTTTTTTTTTTTTTACTGAACCTTGCAAAATCATGCACACACACTTGAGTCAAATACCAGTTCTCTCTACGTTAGTTAATCACACATCACTATTCTCACATTTCCACCCGCTCTGATAGCCACACACACACACACACACACACACACACACACACACACACACACACAAACTTTTACCCACAATCTCTCCCCACCACATACATTGGTACACACCCTCTTTCCTCTCTCTCCCTTCTCCCTCCCAGTCATACACATTCTCTCTCTCTCTCTCTCTCTCTCTTTCTGTCTCTCTCTCTCTCTCTCTCTCTCTCCCTCACTGCTCAGCTGTACCTCAGCACAGTAACATGTTACCTCGCTGCAGCTACGGCACAGAGCGCTGAGCTGAGGCTGCCTGCTCTCTGGCTCACAGAGCAAACATACAGAGCAAAGAACAAAGGATAAGAAGAAGGGAGCTTGAATGATCATCTCTCCTCGGTGGTGCCCTGCCATATTCTCCGAGAGAAAGAGAAGGAGGTGGAGGAGGAAGAACCTCGGTTTTAAAGCTGTCTTGGCTCAGTTTGCGTTAGAGGGAAGAGGACAAAGCAGCAGCAGAGGATGCAAGGGAGACCCAAGGAGGAGAAAAGTTGACTCTCTTTTGCTCTGCCGTTCAACCATCCCAAACAGGAGACCAAAGTTTAGTAAACGAGGAGAAGAAGAAGGAGGAGAAGGACATCTGAGGGTGAGGGGTACAGGGAGCAAAAGCATCCCTCATCCCGGTCACTTTTGAGTGTGTGGGTTTGGTCAGTTAGGAAGGAGGACCAGCACTCCAGAGGCAGCTTCCCATGTGGCAAGAGGCTCTGTGGACCCGTGGACGCTACCTGCTGGAGAAGAACGATGGCGGCGAGTGTACTGAGGGGCCCGAGAGCATGGTCGACGGGTGCCCGGGGTTCCAGGGTGAGGTGTATGTGGAGGCGGAGAAGCCACAGGACTGGCTGTACGAGTCCTACTACAGAATGAGCCAGCAGCATCCGCTTATCGTATTCCTGCTGCTGATTGTCATGGGAACCTGCCTCGCACTGCTGGCTGTTTTCTTCGCCTCAGGACTGGTAAGTGTGTTAATATGTGTGTGTGTGTGTGTGTGTGTGTGTGTGTGTGTGTGTGTGTGTAAAGGTAAGTGTTAAGTGGATAAGTGTTTTTTAAATGTGAGGGGGAAATTATTCATGCAGACTGAAGAGGTTAGTTCAGGTTTAAAGCAGAATATTAACTGTCAATAAAAAGGACATGATGAAAGCCACAATTACAATGTGACAGTAGCGACTAATTCTTCAGATACTGTCACATTTAAATGTTCATACCATCAGACGTAACTTCCTCAGAGTTGTCAGCATAAACAGACGAAGATCCGAAATTCTTTCGGACAGTAAGATGAAGAGGAGGATAACGTGATAACAAAGAATGAAAATGAAAAAGAAAAGTAAGAATGTTGCTGAGGGGTACTTCTATTTGCTTTGTACACTATTTGTAGATTAGCCTGTAATGCATCATTCAGATTCAAACTATTTCTAGAATATCAATTTCCCCTGCTAAAGCTAGTGTTGGTTTTGACAATAGTAAACACAATCAGATAGTGGGTTAAAAAAGTGTTGAAACCAAAATGTAAAAATGTAGGCAGCAAGCTGTTCCCCCCTGCCTAACCCTACGGTTAACACACACACACACACACACACACACACACACACACACACACACACACACACACACACACACACACACACACACACACACACACACACAAAAGTACAAAATGACAAAATGAAAAGACTCAATAAGACAACAGTGCAGTTTTAGGTAGTGCAAAAATGCTGAGATATAAATGATAATACAAATATGTAAATAAGTATCCAATGGGTTCATTTACATGAGGTAGAGAATGTGCATAGATTGGTATCGGATGATAATAATAAACATAATAATACAGTATTTACATGATGAAGTTATTGACCATAGAATTAGTTGAAATAATCTTGTGAACACTTACAGTGCGTGTTGGTTTCAAGGTTACCGGAGTATCACAGCGCCAGTTCTGACACTCTGTGACTGTATAGTTCATCAGAGTGACAGCCTGGAAGGAGAAACTGTTCTTATGTCGGGATGTTTTGACCTATTGATCTGTGACGCCTACCGGAGATAGACTACAGAGCCAACTACAGAAACAAAAAAAAGTATTGTAACCACTGAGTAAGCTGATAGTAACAGCTGATACCTCGGACGTGACGCAATAGAATAGTGTTGTGTCTGTAACAAGTTCTAAAAATTCTTGTAGCGATATAAATGATTTGTGTGGTCCACTCAAACCAGCCATCTTTGCCGATGATTCTGCCGGTTATTTCCATTTTTAAGCAGGTGTTATTGTAGAGCTGGAACAAAGGTTTATTTTTCTTTTTATGATTAACAAAAACTAAAATGCTTTTCCGAAGCTTGTCAGGATAAACGCCACCGTTAGCCCGAATGCTTTGTGATGCAGCACATTTTATCACATCATCGCAAAAGATTTGAGTGGTTAAAAGCTCCATATTCCATTACCGAGCATCAGATAGAAACCTCCTTGTAAAGATCACAGAGGAGAGCTAGAAGAGTTTTGTTTTTGAATGAGCCGGGGGGAGACCCCTGTGTCTGTGTGTGAATATGTGCGACAACATAAGAGGCTGTGAAGCCGTGTTCTAAATTGTGGAACTGAGTTTGCAAAGTGGATCAAGAGCGGGATGAGAGTTTAGTTCGCAGCTGTGTGGGTGTTTGTGCTTTTGTCAAGTGAAAAGTGTTGTTTTGGACACAAACACTCGGCCACAAACACAAGCCATTGTTTTTCAAGTGCTGCTTTTGTGTTTTTATTAAATAGCTGTACAAAAGGAAGCCCACTCGTAGCTGTGTTTGTTACTGTTTCAAAATGATTGTTTTGCTGCGATATGTGTTCCGGACAACACGTCGACGTGTGGCGTTGCTCTTTGCGCGCGTCATGTGTTTTCATAGCAGCATATTTGGGGGCAAGGGCAAAAGAGACGCAGTCTGACATTTAGAGAAGCCTTATGGTGGATTCACACAATAGACAAACTTTCATGGACATGTTGGCTCTTTTAAAACATTAGCTTTTTTTAGCTTCAGGAGGCATTCGATGAAGGTCTCTGCTCTTTTAGGAGGCTGTCAGAGAAGCCCTGTTGCATTCAATGTATTTCAATAACAGGCTTTTCCCCGTAGAACCTCCACCTTAATCGATCCCTTTACTTCTATTTAAGTCAAATCAATAGACGTTATTGCCTTTGCTGGTTGATGTAGTTCTCCAGGTTTTCCTCCTCTTATCTTACTGCAGACTTCCCATAATCATTTCCTGCGATGCTCAATATTGAGAGTAAAAGTCATTTTGTTTCTATTAAATGCAAGACGGATCTCCATGTAGCAATGGAGTAGTTGTTCAGTGAGGCATGAGTATTTACATCTGGTGAACGAAGAAGAATGTCAGGAATAAATAGTGTAGGTTTGGAGCTTGGGGCCGGGGAGGCGGAGGGAGGAGAGGATGTTGTTTTAAGTGTTCTGGCTTTATCAGTGAGCCGGCAGAAACTCAACCAAAGCAGCAGTAATGCGTCCAAAATTACCGCACGCTTTAATCTCTCTCCACAGATCAGGGCTGGAGCCAATTTGGTGGTTTTTCATACAATGTCTTCTCCACCCATAATGTACAGTACGTGTGTGTGTGTGTGTGTGTGTGTGTGTGTGTGTGTGTCTGTGTGTGTGTGTCTGTGTGTGTGTGTGTCTGTCTGTGTGTGTGCTTCGATTTACGTAAATTTTGGCATGTGTTGTCTGGGTGTGTTTGTCTTAGGAAGTCTCTCATTTCCTTCTTAGGCTTATATGCACTTTTTAGATAAAATAATTTCTCTGTTTCTTTTTTGTTGCCTTCACGTCGTATGAATAGGAATGTGTGTGGGTATGTTTGTGTATAAGAGTGTGTGTTTGTGTGTGTATTTGGCTTCGGGCAGACAGAGCTCCCTCACACGGTGACATTTTAAACGCCCTTTGACAGTTTAATAGAGATCAATATTACATCTGGTAATGAGACATTGGAAATCTATAAGCTGGACATTAAAGTTTCCCATTATTTTTATGATTTACACCACTGATTACATAGTTTAGTGACTGCCGTCTTCGTCTCACTCCACGTTTTCCCAGGCCTGATCACTCGCAACCCATTTTAAGTCTTTGCTTTTGAAGAAGGTGTTATTACAAAAAAAGCTTCTGAAACCACTGATTTTGTTTAACCGCGCTGACATTTTGATCATTTTCAGGGAGAGGGAGAGTTCTGTCTTTTTTTTTAAATCACGGCTCACCAGTGTATTCTTATTGGGCAGGAGATGAACAGATTAGGAGAAATAGATGTTGTGACATCACTGACTGAGGTGTGGTCAGCTGCAACAACACAAATCTCTGATGGTCTACATGCAGAAGGTATTCAAAAAAACAAAGTTTGAGTTTAATTTTGGGAAAACATGTTTGTTCCTGATGGTTACTTCAATATTTGAGATAATCAAGTCAACAAAAGCTATAAAAACAAAGCCATTACACCGCCTCCCTTTCCAAGGAGGCTAAAAAAAAAGGCTAAAATGACATCTATAACTTTACACTTTTGCAGGTGTGCTATAAAAGACATTTAAAGCGTATATATATATATATATATATATATATATATATATAGATAGATAGATATATCTCCAAAAAGAAAAGTAAGAATGTTGCTGAGGGGTACTTCTGTTTGCTTTGTACACTATTTGTAGATTAGCCTGTAATGCATCATTCAGATTCAAACTATTTCTAGAATATCAATTTCCCCTGCTAAAATTTCACACCCATATTAACATGGTCTATTTCCCCATGTTCAGTTTTTGTCCATGTTTTTTTATGTGCCTGGTGGGAATCTTTGCGTTTCAAACTGATTCGATCCACTCAGCAAAGCCATCCCACTCGACCCTCTGGCATCTTTTTTTTTTTCGCCTGTTTATGAAATGGCCATTTCTTTGCCTCATACTCATGACGTCCTTCCCTTGGGTGCTGTGATTAATTGACACAAGATCACTCAGATGCAATAAATTATTCCGATTAAAAAAATAGAGCGATATATTTTGTCAAAGAAAAGTTTTGAATTGAAATGTGTCACTAAAATCCAAACACTGGAAGTATTATCAAACCTTTTCCTAGTATGAAAGTGCCAAGGGCTTCAAATGATCTTAGTATTTAAGTTCCAAATTTTTTTATTATCCATCTCATCTCATGGCAAATGCTGCATGCTCAGCAACCTTTGGCCTGTTTAAGCTGGGTGTGTGTCTGCGTTCTTCTGCTCTACAAATGGAGCACTCGAGGAAAGGTTTGTTAAATATTGATGACATTCATAAACAAGCTGCGAGCAGATTGCAGAAATTTGCCACGAGTGCAGCTACATCATGCAGGCTATGTAAATATTTAAAAAATAAAAATACCCAATATGTATAGTGCATACACTTCACTGCTAAACAATCAAATCCCTGCATCTCTCCATCTCTTTCTGCTGCTGCTATAGCTCCATGTTTCCCCTTTCCTCCCAATACAATAGCTTGGTAAGCTAGTCTGGGCTAAAAAAAGGAAAGAATTGTTCTGGATCACAATGCAGTATACTGCAGGCAGGCACAGCTCCCTCCCTGCATGCCATGTTGAAGTGGCTTCAAATGGTTCCAAAAGGGGTTTTTAACAGGATTAGAGGCCCTTCTATCAGAAATGTTCTTATTTTTTTTGCTAAAACATGTACTTGATATAGGTATCTCATCGATGTTTGCACTATTGCTTATTGGGATTCAGCCCGCGTCCCAGGCTGACTGTATAGCTGGTGTGGCGTCAGCAGCCACATCCCATGGGATCCCTTTGCCAGACCCTGACTCATACTACCTCTGCTACATTCTGCTACTGCTACACAGCAAAAAGTCCTCTCTTCCTGCTTTTGCTTTTGACAAATACCTTCTGCCATTTTCAGAAAACACCTTAAGTCAATTAAATTGTCATTTCGACCAAAAAGTCAGGAGTTGCATTCCACCCCTTGTTATTCACTCACATAAGAGCTGCCTCATTGAAATGACATGTTAAAAACATCAATCTGAAGTCATTTTTATGCCCGCTCTGATGCTGGTTTTACTTTAAATTCAGAGACATCTAATGACATAGTGGCTTTCTATTTCAACATTTACTGCTACTGGACCTGTCAGGGCATTTTAGGATTTAGGAATAATTTAAAATTCTTCACATGGGTGTTGTTCAGGACTGAGCCTGTGATACTGTGAAAATATGTAGTCCTCTCCTTCTACAAATAATGGTGATCATACTGCTGTTCCATAAGTTACTTGGACTGAAGAGGGCAGAAGGACATACTTTACTCCTACACTGGCAACATTGTGTGTGTGCGTTGTTTTGGACTGTGTTTGTGTATAATCTGTGTAATGGGATTTCTGCATAGTGAGTTAGATTTGAGTAAAACAACAGAAGAGGTGCAGTACTTTTGACACAGACTGAATAATTAGAAAATTGCTTCAGGCTTTGGGCAAATGCAGAGGTAAGGGACAGGTCAAAGGAGGAAAGTGCTCAGGATGAAAACGTTAACAGGGACTGAAAGGTGCTGCTGTCACTTCCTCTTAACATGAATAAAAATGAGACAAATTTGTCTAGGTGACATGAATCCTAACTGCACAGATCTTGGTTTACATTAGGTACGTTACAAGTTTATTTTAGAACATTTATTTTGAGACTGATGGAAATACACTTTGTGATCTCAAAAAAATTCAATGACTCATTTTTTTCTGGTGATAAATCTTTTTACTTGAAGATAGGGCGGGGGGGGGGGGTTCCCAACTTTTGTCGTATCCAAGGGAGACGTCTTCATTTTTTCACAAGGTAGAGTGAGGAAGATTATTGCACCAAGAAAACATTTTATAAGATATGACATGAACACCTCCGGCAAGATTTGTCCCTTTTATAAGATTTTTTTTTTTTTAAATGAAACACATTCTGTTGTATATCTTCTCCTCAACTGTAAATATGATGAAGTTAGAGTGAAAAAGAGGCTGTGGAGTATGAAGTGTGTAAGTGTATGTACGTGTGTGTGTGTGCGTGAGCGTGTGTGTGTGCATGTGTATGTGCTGAGAGCTTGTAACTGCTGACTTTGACAGTGTGAGTGCAGAATTGATGCTGTAGCACATTCTCTGGGCTCAGACTGTCTGTCTGCCAATCTGTGTGCCGTCTGTTCATCTGTTTTAACGAGTGTGTCATGTTGTACTTGTAATCTCTTTATGGCAACTAAATGCCTTCAAAAGGATGCAGAAAAAGGGGGGGGGGGGATCGTATGCTGTAGGACTTTCATTGTACTAGCTTGGTTTGTTACAGATGTCTTGTGAAGCAGGTACTGAACTCATCCATTTAACAAGACATGGTAGAAAAGACATGGTAGAAATGGTGTCTCATGCTTCAGCCTGATTTCGAAATCTTATAAATGCATATCTGCCTTTTTGGGGCGGTTGGCTTTGGCTTCGGAGGACAGTGGGTCATCTTCTAATTGGAAAGTTGGCCGGGAACACCTCTTGTAGTCCACATGACCAAGTTCCCTTGGGCAAGACACTGAACCTCAAACTGCTCCCAAAGACATAGCCATCGGTGTTTGAATGTGGCTAAATGATTCGATAGCAGCCGGGGACATTACACAGCAGCCTCTGCCCACAGTTGGTGAGGTGTGCGTGAAAGGGTGACTGCTGACATTTAGTGTAAAAGTGCTTTGAGTGGTCGGAAAACGACAAAATCGCTCTAAAAGTGCAGTCATTTTACCACTTCAAGAGTCTCTCGAAAATCTTCAGGTGGTGGTTCCATGATCATAATGTAACACTGTGCTGAGGTCCAGTGGTAATCCGAGTTTGCCACAGAAATTGTCAAAGGGATTCCGTGGACAGTCTTTACGAGGACAAAAAAAAAAAAACTGTATGTGTTTGTACAACCGGCATTCTGAATATGTAATCAGTGTTGTTCTGCAAAATGTCGCAAACCTTCACTTGTGTTAAACTACAATCCTTTCTCTTTGTGTGTTTCTGCAGACTACAGAGGATCACCTGACATTTCTGATCACTGTTCCCGCTGCTCTCTTCCTCTTCCTGTCCATCTTCATTCTTGTCTGCATCGAGTCGGTCTTCAAGAGGATGCTTGGCCTCTTCTCTCTTCTTATATGGGCCTGTCTGGTCACCATGGGTTACCTGTTCATGTTCTCAGGAGGGATCCTCAGCCCCTGGGACCAGGTAGAAAAACACATGTCTTTGGTTAATGTTAAATCTTATTTGTGTTAGTTGTTGCTACTGAATAAGATAATGTTTTCAAGTTCAAATTACAGCGGACGCTAACTCTGTTAAATCCATATCTTACTCTTTTTGTTGTATTCATGAGTGTTCTTGTGATGCATGCAAAAGTGCTTAGAGTTCCTTAACCTGTTAATCTGTTGGTGTTTCTACCTATATGCATGCATGACTGTGTGTGTGTGTGTGTGTGTGTGTGTGTGTGTGTGTGTGTGTGAGAGTGCAGAGTACAGAATTAATTCCACATGTGACAAGTGTTAATGATGCCTAATGAGAGCTGGAGGTGAGCAGATCAGCAGACAGACACATTACTTTTCAGTGCCAGACACCTTCTCTCTGTCTTAGGAATCCTATTTTCTCATGGTAGCACCCTGTCTCCCCCTATTCATCAAATCCTATATTTCTCTTTCCAGCCTCACCAGCTGCTTTCTCCTATCAAGACCCCCTCCACAAACCCCTCCATGGCCATATTTACCAATCCCCTCTTTCCACCACTATACACTCCTTCACTCCGCTATGTCCTCTGGGTTGGAGATATTTTTAACAGTGGCCACCTGTGAGAGCATAATCATGTTGCATTGTTAATCACCCTTTTTTGCTCCCTTTTCTATCTATCTATCTATCTATCTATTTATTTATCTATCCATCCATCCATCCATCTCTCAGTCTGTCTGTCTGTAACTACTGACTGCCTTCCTGAAAAGCAAGCAAGAAAGAAAAGAAACTCGCAGGGAAGCAGAAATCTGGTGAAAAGCGAACAGCTGGAATTGCATCCCGCCCGCTCTCAGCGGGTTGGATTGATTGTGATTACCGAGAGAACAGCATGTCTGATGGAGAACATAGAGCTAATAACAGTAAAAGAGAAAGAGTCGCTTTGACAGAGAACGGGGGATGCAGAGAAGCCTGTGCATTGTTCCACCAATTACTTTTTAACCCATCCACCTGACCCCTAACACGCTGGCCTGATCACTTACTTTCCGTACAAATGCTAAAAAAATAAAAAAATTATGTTGTCAGTTGTGCCACCGTCTTGCTTCATTATTGTCTGGGCTTCATTCAGTTCCTCTAAAGGCCATGTCTCTTACCAGAAAGTAGTCAGAGTATGGCCACTGCACATGGTCCTGAGGAATCGAAAGCACTGTGTGGCAACGTACGTGGGCTCAATATTAATAGAGATCTTATCCTAAAATGCTAATGAGCTGCTTCAACTTGTAAGTGCTATAGGGTGCAAATAGCCAAACACTTGTGTGTTGTGGGTTTTGGACGAGGACATCTGTACATCGGGCTGCGTTGAGGCAAGTGAGCTTGTTCGTCTGGAACACAGAGAAGAGATTGTAGACTATTAAACAAGAGAGAGAGAGAGAAAAAATGTTATCAGAGAAGCGGCGAGAGATGATGGCTACAGCTGTTATCTGGAGGTGTTTGGAGGTGTACTAGGATTCAGGACAGGCTGCCACGAGATGAAGTGTGTGTGACTGCCTGCGCGGCAGACAGGAGCAGGTGACGCATTTGAAATTGGTCTGCCATTTACTTTGACTCACATGTACAACCAAATAGACCCCAACTGCCTCCCATCTTTTACAGAGGTATGATATCAGGTATAGGAATGTTAGGTCATTATAGGACCTGCTGCTCTGACACCAGCATCTTTCTCTTTGTTGGTGCCCTTAGCAACTGAAAACATCTTTCTCTCTGTTCTCTACGCACAGAATATCTTTTAGATGGAACTTGGTCAATCAGACAATCACATACATCCAATCCTCTGTTTATTGAACTGTATCTCTGTCATGATATCGACGCATCACTAAGCAATCTGTCACTGCAAATAATGCAGATGCAACACTGAATGTAGCATGTGAAGCCCATTCCACCAGCGACTTGCTAAAAGCCAGTTAAAGATTAGAAATGAAAGACAAACATATTGATGAAGCTCTGTCATCGCCATGTTTAGCTTATCTGATTCACTCCCAACTGTCATTTTGGATGGATTCCTGTTTGCAGACTGACTCTCGGAACTTGAAAGGCAGGGGAAATAAACAGACAGGCAGGAAGGTCGGAGTTCATCTTGTGTCCCAGTTAAAACTGTGACCCGTTCACGCTGGTCACCAACCACAACAGGAAGGGGTGGACTGCCAGCAGGGGAAGTGGACAGGGCCAAAGCAAAAGGTTAAGTCAAAAGGATCTTGGACCAACCCAGTAGGAAGCATATCTCTAGCACAACAAACAGGAATATGCACACATACAGATTTGGCTACCGTCAGAACAGATGGGAAGAGAGGACTGGCTACATTTAACAAGCAGAAAATGCCACCTTCAATCCATCATGCATTGAGTAATACTTGTACCATATATCCTTTCTCTATTTTCCATCAGTAAAAAAAAAAGTATTTTATTTGTACTTCAGTTTAATTCGGATGTTCCCAAGCCGTATGATCACAATATATAAGGTTTTGTGCTGGCGTAATAAAAGCAGATTGTTGTTGGAAGAACACAGAACGTGAATCTCTGGTGATATTTAAGACTGATGTCGTCTTTGTTTTGCCTTTGCTGTGGTAGTTCTTGGCATTAATGCTGTCCAGAAGTGGTGGGCATGTTATGCTAAATAAACGTCTACATTCTAATAAGATCGCAATTTTGTAAATGAGGCAAAGGGTTCCCGAGCGTGATGGTGTTGAGATCTATTTTGCCTGGATATTTCTTCTGAATTGCTACTTATAATTTGATGCCTTCTCTTTCGGTAGACATATTACATTAGAACCGTAATAAGGTTTCCAGAAAATATGAAGCAACATCAAAGCCACTACACAGATTAGATTAAGCAGATGAACCCATTTCGACACCCTCCTGTTTCCTGTTTGCAGGTGTCCTTTTTCCTCTTTATTGTGTTTGTCGTCTACACCATGCTGCCCTTCTCCATGAGAGGAGCCATTATTGCCAGTGCCATCACCTGCTCCTCGCATACTGTCACCCTAAGTGTCTGTCTGGCCTTTACCGTCACAGAACTGGAACCTCTGGTCTGGCAGGTAAGACTTATTTTACCCCCTGTTGAATCTGAAGGGCTCAAAAGAAAACTGTTGAAATCTTCAATTTACACAACTTTCTGCTTTAATGGAAGATGACTCTGCTCTCAACGTCCCTTTTTTTTTTTTGTTTTGCCTAAGACGCCTACATTATTGCTTCCCTGCACTATGAGCAGCAGCAACACGGGTTAGTTTATTCATTTGGTCGGGCTGTTCCTTGCACGACTAAAAATGATGAGGTTCAATATTCTAATAGGGTCTCCGCTGTATAACAGGAGACCTATCCTGCACTACGATGACGCAGCACACTCAATGAAGCCCCCAGAGTCAAATGAGTTGTTTTAATATACTCAGGATCAGCTCTTATAACAGTGGCTCTCAAGACACTTAATCTCGACAGAGTAGCACACTACAATCTCCGCCCAAAGCGCAAAGCTGAGGTTGCTCCGGAAAAACATCACAACACAAACAACAGAGTCCAAAAGGATAACACACACACACAACATCTGTTTTACATAATAAAGATACAGTTATCAGGCTCACTGGAACTAATGTGGGTGTGTGCGGCGGACAAAGACCTTCAGTACACTGTGAGTGTCTTAAACCATCCTCTAAAGCAAACACAATGATAACACTCAAATCCAAATAGTTTCTCTCTTTCTCGTGTCTTATGCACACATATACACAGCGGAACAGCATACCAGCAATAAAACATGGTCAAAGAAGGTCATTGCCCGAGGATACAGAAAATAAGGACAGCCTATTGATATGCATTGCAACAATTTAAAGAGCCTGAGGTTGACACAGCGGTGGAAAGGCACGATCGAAGTGTGTGCTCTTGCCTGCTTTTACGAGGTAATAATGTTGGCGTAAGAGGAAGGAGGCAGATGGCAGGAATATTACATGTTGAGGGCATATCTGGAACATGCGTCAACCCTCCTGACATTATTTGAATGCTCTCTGTTTGTGTTTGTATGCCTGTGGCGTCAGATCCTGGCCAATGTGATTATCTTCACCTGTGGCAACCTGGCTGGGGCGTACCACAAACACCTGATGGACCTGGCTCTCAAACAGACCTACCAAGACACCTGCAACTGCATCAAATCGCCCATTAAGCTCGAGTTTGAGAAGCACCAGCAGGTACACACACACACACACACACACACACACACGCATACAAAAGATCTAAATTAAATGTGTGATTTATTGTAGAAGTTTACTCAAACCTGTTCCCCTTTTTTTATATAATAGTTTTGCAATACATGATTACCTAATTTAACAAATCCTCTGATAGCTTTTAACAGTTACACATGAAAATGACAAAGAAACTCTCTGTATTCTCATTAACAACTTCTTCAGTTTTTTACTGCACCACAGGAATGTGAGACAAGCCGTTTAAATGGATAGCCTGTTCCCTCATTGACCCCCGCTCTTTCAAAATGAACAGGCACAAACAGTCCTCAATTACATCCTCTGAAAGCTTTTACAGCGATCCTCAATTACATGCTACTTTGATTGAGCCCCTGACTTTTTATGCAGCGCTCCAATGGAGTTAGCATTTGTTACTCAGTTGGAGAGTCTATAAAACGATGAGATGCATTGCTTTGAAATTATGAGCAAAATTTTGCTTCGTCCCCACACAGAACCATAATAGTTATGTTTGTTCTAAGGGTCCAAATAACTATGTTTTTCAGCGACTGTATGCACTGGCTTTGGTTGTCTATAATTGGATTGCGGTCCTTTAACTGGCCCTCCCAGTCCACTTTCAGCTTGGTAACGTCTCCTTCATTTGTACAAAGTCTGTTCAGTTCATGCTTTTATCTGATTCCAGCAAATAAACTGCAATAATAACGTTTACTACTGTCACTCTAGAGAAGCTAAACATTCAACTCACCTAGTGGGAGACAGCAGGAAAGAAAAACACTTTATAATGTTTCTGTTTAACACTGGCAGCTTTTAAACTGGGATTTCAAGGACTTTATAAACTGCTCAGGGCTTCTTTTCATAAAACACATAATGAAACACATCGTACATTATATGTTATTTATGCTTTCTAATAAAAATCTGCCTCTGTAAAGTTGCTAATAATCAATGCTGCCATGTAATCCATTGACAGTTTCCTCCAAAATGTGATAAATAAAATGCACAATTTTACAACTTTTTTCATTTCAGTACTAGAGTAAATTTTCACAGAAATTTGCTCAACATTTGCATCTTTGCCCTGCCATTTTCTCTGACCTGGGAAATGATATGACATTTAAACTATTTGTTCCACACCACCTCACAGAACTAGTTATGATTACTCACAGAAGTTTGAATTGGAAAAGATATTTGTAATAATGGATGAAATACAACATCATAATGCATCACATTTAAAATATTTGTTTCTTTTTTTATGTGAAAACACGTTGTAAAAATGTATAGGCAATGTGTGTGTGTGTGTGTGTGTGTGTGTGTGTGTGTGTGTGTGTGTGTGTGTGTGTGTGTGTGTGTGTGTGTGTGTGTGTGTTTGTAAGAGGATGCATGCAAACACCAGCACATGACTTATCGAATGACAAATTGCATTCAGAAGCTGAGTACGGATCCCTACTGTGCATTAATCAAACACATAATTATTAAAGCCAAATCTCCTCCGGCTATAACACCCCCTCTACTGCCTCACAGTAGAGTGCCCATATTGCTTCAGTGATGAATAAGTAAATAAGTACGGTTGGTGTGGGTTTCTATTTTTAGCAATCCCCTCACCTCTCTCCAAAACCCTCTCTCGACTTAATTTGCTGCTGTGTTTTAGGAAATGAGCTCGTGGTGTGTGAACAATGTAATGACCCTCTCTGCTGTGAGATGCATTTATGAGTCACATCCCTCAGGCAGCTGCTATTCACTTTCTCTGACATGCACACGCATACACACACACACACACACACACACACACACACACACACACACACACACACACACACACACACACACACACACACACACACACACACACACACTTTTACTTGCATACACAGTCACTCTTAAACAGCCGTTCCACCGATGTGTATGGTGAAAAATCGAAGCCAAAAACCCACAACATGGTTACACAGCAACAGCTACGTATGTGTGCACATCTCTCGGAACCTTTTTATATGTAAAGAAAAAATTGCAGAGATGTGAGATGTATTAGCAAATTTGAATGTAGTATTACAAAATAAGAATGAATTACACCTTTCTAAAGTCTTTTCAATCCTGTTTTACACTGTTTTATGGTGCGCATGTCATGTACTGCCTCACCTTTAGCTATTGGATGTTTTTTCATTGTGGAACAGAAAATAGTAGAAGTAAGTTATAAGTTCTTAGACACAAGTTTTTAAGGTAACATAAAAAAAGCGAACCCGAAATGTCCTGTTCTCCTCTGATACGTTCTGCTCTATATGATTGTGTCCTCTTTGTTATATAAGAGAACTATTGTTTCTTTGAAGAAGTTTGAAGAAACCTTGTCTTTTTCTTTATCACATCCTGTTTGCTTGACTCTGCCTCGTCTGGATTCCATCCCTGCCCACGCCCTGTCTCCAGGAGCGTTTACTGTTGTCATTACTGCCCGCTCACATAGCCAGAGTGATGAAAGCCGAGATCATCCAGCGGCTGCAAGGACCCAACTTTGGACGAACTGAGAGCACAAACAACTTCCACAACCTCTATGTGCAACGGCACACCAATGTCAGGTTGGGTTCCTTTTATTCTCATGTATGTGTGCCTTCACAAAGTAAAGGTTATTCTGCTCTCATCTCAGCTCTTGATTTCTCAAATACCATCTCATCCCCCCCCCCTCCTCATCTCAGCTGCTCCCCTTGTCTTCTTTTGTCCTCCACTTTCCAGCTACTCTCACATTTGGATTGCTCCTATATGTTGTCACTCCGAGGCCCCTCGATCAGCTTCATTCTACTCTCCTCAAAAAATTCCAACTCCAATTCCAATTCCATCCTGTCTTGTAACTCCTTTTTATTGTCAAGTCCAAATTCAATTCAGAGTTAATCCACCTCCATTGTATTGTGAGGTCACTTTGCCAAATGAAGAGGAGCCTATGTTCCCTTTTCTTGATGACACCCTCTTCTATATGGTGAGGTTCAAAGAAACATTCATGGCCAAACATAAAGCCTCTCCTTATGTTGTCCGCTACAGGCTGTGTAAGAGGCTGTGTGTGTGCTCATAGGAGTGTGTGAGTGTGTATGCAGTATGTGTGTATGCTCTCTTGTTGGTCTTCCTATTAACTGATTCTCACATGATCTAGCTCAAAGTGAGGAGGGTAATCTCTCCAGAACAAAGACCGTACACCCGAGAACAGCTTGTATTGGGATTCTGCTGAATCCTCCTACACTAGACAGTTAGTCGAGAGCCGATCAAAAGCAGCTGCCTCCATTATCATGTCTGCTGCTGCGTTTGGTGGGTTAAATGCTGTGTTTTTATTATTATTGAAATATCATCCTCATTCTTTGGGAAAAAGTCAAACACGTTTTATTTTAATTTTGTAACATTTCTGAGGCGATAGAGACACAATGCATGACGTGATACTTTAGTCACACTGCCTTTTTAAATATCTGGCAAGTAGGTTGCTTAATCTCTTTTGACATTAAACTTAAATGCTAGTGTTGTATCTAGTGTACATTTAAATTATTCATAGGTAATAAAGTTCAAAAACAAAACTTGTGCAGTAAAAAAAAAAAGGTGTTTGTCAAGATAAATAAGCTACAGTCCTATTTCTTTTTCTACATAAGTTTTCTTTTCTTCCTGTGTTCCCACAAACTCAACTGATTAGTTGATGATAACACCGCATGAAACAATCACATCAAGTGAAAAACAAGCCAGTCCTTGTTTCATTTGATGGTTCAGTTTTTAAAGTTATGGACGGTTATCATGTTTTTTTTTACAAATCTTTTTTTTTTTTTTTTCAGCATTCTGTACGCTGACATTGTGGGCTTCACCAGGCTGGCCAGTGACTGCTCCCCAGGCGAACTTGTCCATATGCTGAATGAACTCTTTGGCAAGTTTGACCAGATTGCAAAGGTAATGCCCATCATCATTTAAGCATCACAATTTAAATACAAGGACATGACAGCAATCAGCAGAAATGGCTGAAAAATAATCATATTGTAGTCTTGGGTCTTGGGTGCTAGATGCAACCGTCTGCGTTAATGATTCTTCCTGTAGATAAAGGGAATAAGACATAAAGAATATACCATTTTTTATTCTATGATGCAATTCAGAAGCACATCACCACAAGATGGAGATTTTCTTTTAGAACAATCAAACATCAAGAGAGACAAATCCACCTTCGTTTAGGTTCAATTAAAAAGGGGTCCTTTTATGTGTTTTAAACTTAAAGAAAGTCACAAACCAGGACAAAACAACCACAGCTGATTAAAGAAGATGTTTCCTGAAGGTGTTAAATACAGAGAGAATAGAGCAGTTCTTCATAGGAGAAACATACATTGGATACATGGGACATCTAGACTGTCCCCTCCCCTCCCCCAACCCCAAAAATAAATAATTAAACAATTAAAACATTTTTAAAAAACGGGGTTCATTCTAAGAGATTACTGTATTGAATACAACATGTTGTCAATTGCAGATAGGTTGTTAAAGACACATAACAATGTTATGGGTTCAGTAGAGGAGATCTTAGCTGACGTTTCTGAGAGTTTAAAACAGTTGACCCATTTGGAAAATTGCGCACAAATTGTGTTTTTTACAAAAGAGCCTATGTGAGATACGGGAACCGTCTTGTGCTGTCTATCACGTTACAGCGTGGCCTTGAAATGAATGTCTTCTCTTGTCCTGCAGCCAGTGACGGCCTTGGTTTTGTACTTTCTCATAGCTCTGTGCGAGCTAACAGCTGCAGGTGCAGCAGTGTGGGCTGGTCAGAGTGTATCTCGCAGTCTCATGGGTCCTCTGCTATTCGGGTTGAAACGGTTGAGCCAGGCTCCTCTCTGCTTTGTGTCCAGCAAGTCTGTCCTCCCGCCCGAGGAAGCTGCGGTTATATAAACCTGAAGCAACGATGAGCTGTAACACATCCCACATGTGGAAGAAGAGCTAATGGGTTATGTGTGTGGGTGTATGATTTTGGGCTTGATGGCTGTGACTGTGCATGTGTGAGGTTTGTGTGGAGGTGAGAAAGAGCATGCAAAAGTTTTTTGTTTTTTTGAAAGAACCCGAACCAAAAAATGTGAAACCTGTCTCAATTCACCTTTATTTTCTCTCTCTAAGGAAAACGAGTGTATGAGAATCAAGATCCTCGGAGATTGTTATTACTGTGTCTCTGGCCTGCCTGAGTCGCTGCCTCACCACGCCAGGAACTGCGTGAAGATGGGCTTGGATATGTGTGAGGCCATCAAGTAAAATACCAGCTCTCTTTCTCATTCTCTTTCTCTGTCTCGCTCTCACTCTCACTCTCTCACAAACACACTCAAACAAAAACACAAACAAACACACGCTTGTCAAACAGATTGAACAGAAGGAATGCCGGGCTTGATTACAGCTCTGTTTGAGCTCTGGAGTAAACACAATGTGAATTCAATATGATAAGCCTCCCAACTGAACAAACAAAATAAAATCCCAAACAAATATTCCCTCCCAGCCACGCTGCTCTTTGTCTCTGTCATTTCTCATGCAAGACCATAAACATTATTTATTACTAATATGTTTCCTTTATGACATTAGCATTTATTCACAAGCTCATCATAGAAACAACTCTCCACCATCTGCCACTGATATGATTCACCATTATCTCTATTCAAGTGCTGTTTTGGATGATTCCTAACCCGATAGAAAAAGGAAACACTGAATTATTTTGACTTAGATCAAAAAATGCTGTTTGTGTAAGAGCTGAAATCAGAAATATATAATGTGTTAACAGTAAATGGAGATGAACTTCAAGTGGTTTATCCTGATGCAATAAATATGATGGGATTTTTAGGCTTTGGCTGTTTGGGCAGCTCGTGGTTAGCTGTTCTCCCTGCCTCCTGTCTTTATGCTGTGCTTGGCTAACAACGTCCAACTCCATCTATGCATCTAACAAGGCACTCGATACTTATTGTGTCATGACACCCTCAGTAAATAAAAACAGCTAAGAGCGCGGCCACACTGGCAATGTTGTCCCGTACGCCATTCCCCCGCTGGACTGCACGGCCTGCGGTCACACTGCTCCATGGCAAACCAGGCCTGAACACGGTTACCTCTTGTGCATAACGTCGTAATACTGCACATGCATGGCTTTATGTTATTGTGAAGCGTGCTCAGTTTACAAACAGGTGGAAGAATTTTTTTTTAAAAAAGGGACGCGCAGTGGAGTCGGCGTCTGCACATCGGAGAACAACACAGAGAACATGACAGCTACTTTACTGACTTTGAGGCTTATTTTTGAGTAATTTTAATCAGAGACAGCCATTAATATATTAAAACATTTAAAGAGATGCGTGGTCTTTCTCTCCGAAGCGTGCCAGGGCCAAGGAAGTGTACCGTCTTTGAGCACGGTACCGAGTGATCACATTGGTCAAACGAACTGGACTTTAGGGGTGACGCGTGCTAAGGCACGGTACAGATTGCCGGTGTGACCGTGCCCTAAGAAGCTGAAGTAGTGAACTAATACTCGTCTAAGAGGATATTTTTAATGCTTTGTGTTCTCCCCAGGAAGGTCCGAGATGCCACAGGAGTTGATATCAACATGCGAGTTGGAGTTCATTCTGGGAATGTCCTGTGTGGGGTGATTGGCCTCAGGAAGTGGCAGTATGATGTGTGGTCACATGACGTAACTCTAGCCAATCATATGGAGGCAGGGGGTGTGCCAGGGTAAGACATCACCAATACTTTTTTATTATTATTTGTGTGTGTTTGGCAAACTAGGAGAATGAGCTCAAAGTTGCAAGATTAAGTTGGTAATCTGTAGAAGAAGCTTTGCTTTGGGATTTGATTTACACTTACTTCTAACAGTTATTAATCTTGACGAGCAAGTCAGTGAATTCCCATCAGCCCCACTACAGTTTCATTTGCTCTACAGCTTGACGAGCAGGTCCCAGTGGCCAAATGCATGGACTCTAAATTTTAAGTGCAGAGTTGTCTTAACAAGTCTGTTTGAAGGCTTTTTTTTTTATCTTAAAGAATAACACACTTCATTGTGTTTTAAATGCTCTTTTCGTCTTTGTGGTGAGAAAATGTCAGGTTTATTAGTATTCAGCATGGAATGTCATATATCAGCTCCCATAAACAAAACAATATATCGCAGCCTTATTAGTGTTCTTAATGTATGTTTGTGTAATTCAGTAAAGGAGAGCTGAAATAACTCAGTTGGTATAGTAGGCGCCCCCATGTACAGAGGCTATAGTCCTCGTTGCACTCAACTCCTGATCCTGACGCTGCTTGGAGCATGTCGTCCTCGACCCTCTCGCTCCATATTCCCTGTCTCTTCACCTGTCCTAACAAATCAAAGACAAAAAAAAACAAAACACAAATATAACCAAAAAAGGAAAATAAAAACTGTTAACCTTCTGCCTGACACTGAATATGATGATGCCACTGAGGGTGTGATTTTGGAGGTGAGGTATTCCAGTATCTCCATGAACAAGTTCAATCAGAAATCATCTGAAATTAATGTTTCTTATTTAACCCATTCTAAACATTTTAGACAATCACAGCTTCAATACCCTATTTGACCTATCAGCCTCCATGTTTGTTATGTGTCCATTAGGTCTGTCTGCATGTTGGAGAACACAGGAAAATTGTTTCCGGTAGTTATGTGTATTTTGCTCTAAAAATAGTGTCGGCATGTTGTCTAACTGCGCTGCTAATGGTCTGTCTCCCCTTGCCTGCTGAAATGGTATCTGAAAAAAATAAACATATTCCCATCCCATCCTCTATCCGCTCTTTTTGCAAGGGTTACTAACAAAGCTGAATACTGAAGTGGAAGGTTTTGTGTGGTTATAGATGAGGAAAGTAAATCATTTGTCTGATACTGTTGACGCCACAATATTGTCAGCTCCTAACCTCTCTTGTTTCTATCCTCTTATCCCTTCCTGTCTCATCTCAAGGCGGGTCCACATCTCTTCTGTGACGTTAGAGCATTTGAAGGGTTCATATAAAGTGGAGCCGGGAAACGGGCAGAGTCGAGACTCCTATTTGAAAGAACATGGAGTGGTCACCTACCTTGTCATCAACCCCAAGGTCAGTTACCATTTACTTAAATGGTTCTCTATGTGCACATGTGGGCAGAATGTTTCATTGAAAGGATTACTCTCACACATGGAAGAGAAGAGGAAGTAGGCTTTTGTCTCTAAATCTGTACATTCTCTGCACATTTGAAAGCTGAGTTAAGAAGGATGAACATAAACAGATTGAAAATATGATATTATTCTGAATCCTAACCTGAAGTAGTACATCCTACATTAGCTCATTATAATGCTTTAATTTAGTTACAGCTGCAGAGTTATCGTTTTTATTACTTCATTGGTTGTGCTACAGTGACTGATCATGCTGCAGATTCCTTGTTATCCTACGCCTCCCCCAATCCTAGAAGAAATATTTCAATATATATATAAACCATTTGAAAATCAAAATGATTTACTGAAAAACAAAATGTCACAAAGCTGTAAGAACGTTTATTGTACTCAGTTTATTTAGAACTTGTGTTTTGAACATATACTGTATTAGAAACCATTACTAAGGATGACATGTGAATTTAAACTCTCAGTACTTGTCGGTTTGAGCAGCAGAAACTGCTTATGGCAGGTGTGTTGGGTCATGGTGACATAATGAGCCTAAATGCAGCGATATATTATCTGATTTTCTATTTTCAGCATTGCTGCTTTCGAAAGTTTTTTCGATTTTGCAGGTCAGTTTAGTACAAAAGATCCCACGCTACCTTTTCATCCTGCCAAGAGCACAGTAGGCAGCTGAACAACTTTGACAATATCAAGTTTCAGGAAAAAGGGCAATAAACCAATGACATTACGATGTCAAATAACCAACATTTCTACAGGTGTAAAGTAGTGTAATCCGCATTGGATTCTGTTGGATGTTGTGTTCACTCTCACTGCTTGAGGCACTGCGTTTGTTGCCTGCAACATCTTGAAGATTTTCCTTTTAAACCAGGTCAGGTTGGTGAAGACTTTTAAAGATCTGCCTCTTCAGGGAACTTCATCACCACAACACCCATGTGTCTGATGTTGAAAAGCAGAACTGAGCTAGTATAACAAACTTTATAGCCATTACGTTTCTGTCAGTCTCATTATCTTTAAATGTTGCTTAAAATTGGATTGAATAACCAAAAATGTTCACCATAATTATCAATCTACAATCAGAGTGTGGAAAAAGTCGCTGTGACTTATCAGCAATCATTTCTCCCAGTCTGCTCCTGTTGACATTTTCACTTTTGAATTGCTCTCCAAATAGCTTAGCAGAGAATATTGAACTTGAAGTCATCATTTTACTTTTATTACTAAAGGTTCATCTTGAAATTTACAGTATGTGTGTATGAATACATATAGCAACATGTAGGTAGAGACTTTATGCATTTACTTACTATGTTTAAATTGTGATACTATGTCTTCTTAAAACTGAACATAACTATCTAATTGGAAATCTTTGCAAAATATGACAAGCTGATCCTCTGTGTCCTTGGGGTGTTTGTTTAGAAGATGGCTTTTCCATGTCCTATAAGACATTGACAGAAAAAAAGGGCTGGGTATGTTGTGCGGCTTTTTGAAGTGGCCATGAATGGATCAAGGCCAAATATGGAGCGTGGGTTGCAGGAGGTGTCATCTCCACTGTCACTGACATTGATTGTCACTGTCAGAGCGGTTCAGTTCACCCGCAGGAAATGAACACCGACATTACGGACAGTGGTCTATTTCAGATCTTATAGGCCCATGTGCCTCGTTTGGTGAGTCACAGCACCTGTCTTCATCAGCAATTGAAATAATTCACCAGGGGAATGAAAAAACATAAAGCATCTGACAAACACAGCTACCTTTTTCCTTTTGTACTTTTTTTTTAATCAACATTAGAAAAAGAATAAAAATTGCATGCTTGATACAGGTCGATCTTTCTTTCAGCAGTGAAGTGGTGCTGTATTTGTCAAAGAGAAGCACTGTGCTGCACGGTGGTGCAGTGGTTAGAGCTGCGAGGAGGTTCCTGGTTTGAATCCTCGTCAGACAGGAGCCTCTCTGTATGGAGTTTACATGTTCTCCCCTAGCATGCGTAGCTGTCCAGAGACGTGCTCGTTAGGTTAATTGGTGACTATAACTTGTCCGTAGGTGTGAATGTGAGTGTGGTTGTCTGTCTCTATATGTCAACCCTTTGATTGACTGGCAAACAGTCCAGGGTGTAACCCCGCCCTCTCGCCCAATGGCAGCTGGGATCGGCTCCAGAACGGGAAAAAGCGGTATAGAAAATGGATGGACGTGAGGATGACTGTTTTGAAAACCTTCTTAAAGAAATGGTTCATAGCAATGATATTAACATTATCTGGTTTTTGGTAGTATTTTGGTGTTCCTCAGACCGAGAGGCACAGCCCTGTGTTTGGCCTGCGCTCGCGTCCCTCTCTGGATGGCGGAAAGATGAGGGCGTCTGTCAGAATGACTCGATACCTGGAGTCCTGGGGCGCAGCCAAGCCCTTTGCCAACCTCCACCATAGAGACAGCATGACTACAGACAACGGCAAGATCAACACAACTGTGAGTACAATGCAGAGCTCGCTGTCTATGCCACACACGTGCGTTCATCAGGCCCTGATACATAACTGGTCTGACTCCTGTTCCAGGATGTTCCAATGGGGCAGTACCACTTCCAGAGACGAGAAAGGTGAGCCAGATGAAACACTGCATTTATAATCCTGAAGTATGTAATCACTTCAAATCTGTCATTCCCTCCCTTTGAATCCAGGTCCAAATCTCAACGGAGGAGGTTTGAGGAGGAGCTTAATGAGCGAATGATTCGCACCATTGATGGCATCAACTCGCAGAAGTATGCAAACTATCTTATCTTATACATATCTCATGTCTGCATCACTCTTTATAATTAATGTCACCTCAGAAACTAAGTAAAAGACGAAATGAAAATCAAGTCAGCATCCACAGTCAGAGGAATCCTCCTCATTGCTCGTTATCTGATAATGGGGCTGAATCAACAACTGTAAGAGACCTCTCGATCAATTCAAATGTAATGCAAAACAGATGTTATTTACTTTTTTTTGACGAGGCAATCATATTGAATTATAACAAAGTTAGCATTTTTTGGCTCATTTGAGAACCAACAGGAACATACCACACAACGCACTCCAGAACCTGGTCCCTCTATATGGTCTGGTCTGAATCTGTTTCACATGTGTACTCAGGCAGTGGCTGAAGTCTGAAGACATCCAGAGGATCTCATTGTTCTTTCACAACAAAGCTCTGGAGAAAGAGGTAGGCGAATGCATACAAAAGTCTGGCCAGCGTTGCTGACTGGGAAACAAATCAATAGAGTTGTATAGTTCAGCAAACCAGAAGTCATTAAGGAGGAAGTACAACCTTATAGGACTCTATATATTCCATAGTGAACCTTTGTCCTAAAATCTATCTCATGAACTATAGATTTAAACTTAGCATTTTTTTTCTGTTGTTATGTTAACCATTCTCATGATGTTGAATCCTTTTCCCATTTCTTTATCTTTGTCTCCCTTCCACAGTACAGATCTACAACGTTACCAGCCTTCAAGTACTATGTCACCTGCGCCTGCCTCATATTCTGCTGTATATTCATAGTGCAGGTCCTCGTCTTGCCTAAGTAAGTCTGCAGCCCATCACACGATTTGCACAGCACATTCCCCTGTAGCCTCAGCACACTCCAGCTGTGGCAGCGAGTTGATGTGAAAAAGCCATTAGACGCCAGCTGTCTCGTCAGCAGGACCACACTGAAATTGAAGAGGATGGGGGGGGGGGGGGGGGGTGTGCAAGAGGCAGAATGCTAAAAAGCGTTTCCAAAATGAAAGAGCACCGTGTTTGGGATTATAGATCAGGTGAATCGAAGTACATCATCTCTTTATTGGCAAGGAGAGACATTCTCGTTCATGCTAATTTACTGCCTTTGGTCGCCAGTGTGGTAATTTAGCTTCTGAGGCGTCATTGATTGTCTAATTTACCTCTGTCTTTCTCTTCTTTTGTCTTCGCTCAGTCCGTCGCTCTGCACATTAAGACATGAAAATCATCAGTTAGATGGCAGGGTTCCCAAAAAAGAAACACTGTGTTCCTTCTTGGAAAAAGAGAAACATGAACGTGTTTATGACGCCCCTCCACTATGCAGCTATTGCAATTGTCAATTATGCTTACTCAATGTAAATGGACTGCAGGTCTGAGGTAGAATACATTAGAACCTTCATTACATTTATTGGCCTGGATGGCACCGCAGAAGCCAAGGAGTGCCAAGTGGGATTAGAGTAATGTAAGTGTGTGTGTGTGTGTGTGTGTGTGTGTGTGTGTGTGTGTGTGTGTGTGTGTGTGTGTGTGTGTGTGTGTGTGTGTGTGTGTGGGGGGGGGTTATGTTGCAGAACTGCTGTGTTGGGGATCTCCTTTGGCCTGGCGTTCTTGCTGTTGGCTCTGATCCTGCTCCTTTGCTTTGCGGGTCACATTCTGGTAGGTCTGCGTTAATTCTTTAGTAAATACATAAACACACACTTGTGAAAATGAACACACTTAATTACCTACACTTATATACACTTGACACTTTGTGTCAGTAGATCAGTTTTGGAGCTTCCCTGTAAACAATATTGATCATTTTAACCATTTAGCTTGTTAGCTTCAATGTGATAAATTGTTCTCTTGCTAGAAGGGCTTATCCTAAAGGGCTCCCCGTTATTTGTTCCTGTGTATCACGTTAGGTGATGTGTCTTAAGCATTCCTTTAAACAATAGTTCTTGCATTGATTTCTGTAAATTGTTCTCAAACACAAGTGCAGACTTTAAGTTACCAGCTGCCACAGCTACCTCTGACATGTGGTCCAGGTACTATGAAGAAATGATTTCTACCAGAAGAGCTCACTTTAAGGTGGCTGAGAAGTGCAAATGCTCGGCAACTGTTAAAAGACTCACATTTGGCAAAGCATGCAGTGAATTCTGAAACTATGCAAATTCAAAAGCACGTGTGCAAATCAAATGCAATGACTGAAATGCGGTGCAAATAAAACGATATGCTGGAACAACTGCATTAACGGCAAACACTGCAAATCCAGTCTACACGCGCATCCTTATGTAAGTCATTTATACTGTTGCAGAACGATTGCACTTTTCTGTCATACGTCGTGCATCTCGCTCCTCAAAGGAGTATTATTATCAATGAAGTCCAGCACTTTCTTATAAATGGAGAGTTATGGATAACCTTGAGCTTGCCCTGACCAACACATTAAATTGTGTAAAGCTAATGTGTGGCGTCGATGCAGACACAAGGTCACACTCTGCTCTCTAACGGTCAATTAAACACTCAGGGCATGGTTCACTTAGAATGGACTGAGGCCGCGCTTCGCTTCAAAGATTATGCATCATTGGCTCCCTCTATCTTGAGAGAAGCTATCTGCACCTTCAGTCTGCTCAGAGTTGCGCTCTCATTCTGAAGGAGTATCGTCTTGTCCACATGAAGATGTTGAGCGAGGAGGGGAGGAGACCTTTTTTTTTTTAAGATTATTGTGAGGCCAGTCTATAAAAAAAAGTGATGTGAGTTGATGTGAAACAAATCTTCCTCTCTGAATGGAGCAAGCAAGGGCAACTGGAAGAAAAAACCAACAAGATCATCTTTGTCACGCACAATTACTCCAGATCTGTCCACACGTAGATGACGACTGATTAAACCCCTGTTAATATTAATAATAGTTAAGACAAAGACATGTATTTATATATATTTTAGAGATTCTTAGGTCATACAGAGTTGGAATAGTTTTCCTGATCATTGCAGAGTTTGGGGTTTCATCTCCTGTATGTAATGCAGATCACATTGCACTGAACTCTTTGCAGGTCATTTGTGAATAAGACTGTCTTTTTTGTCATCTGGTTTAAAGGGTGCAAAAGCTGTGCAGTCCTTTTGTGAATAAGGTTATGAACATGCTCTTGATGAATGCTGCTGTTGTCAGTAACAACAGGGCTAACTTACAAGACTCTGAATTTGTGTGCTTAAACCCTATGTGCAAGTTGTTTATGTGTAAGTTAGCGATGAATGAAGCATTATATTGAAAGGAAGCATTCTCTTCAACTGTGAATGAATGAAGAAGGTTGCTGTGGGCAAATACATTTTTTGAAAATGTTTCTTCAAGGCAAAGCACAATTCCATTCTTTAAGACCATAAATCTGCTATAGGCCTATATGTCCTTGTAAGTCTTTGCTTGAATTGGCAAGAAAATGTATCTTTTTGTTTGTAGAATTTACCATCTGTCCAATAAGAAACTTCAATAAATGTACTTTCTCCAGTCCAGTTGATTTGGATTTCATATATAGTGGCTTGTTTGATTGATAACCATTGGTGTTCTACTTTCTGGCTTTGTTTTTAATTTCTTGAGATGTAGTAACAACTTCATAAGGGAGCATATAAGCTACAGCAAAGATGACACCACCGAAGTACAATTTACTTTTGGTCGGGACATGAAGAAGTAGAGGCCCTAATCATTACCTCTGTTTCTTTGCATCCTCAGCAGGGAAGAAAGGGGTCCTTCTGCTCTCTAACCTGGTTCCCCACTTCGTCCCGCATCATCGTAACCAACAATCCCTGGCTGCGATTGGTCCTGACCATGACGACCACTGCTCTTATACTGGTGATGGCCGTCTTCAATATGGTGAGGAGTGTTAAACGTCTTAAGATGTTGTGGATATTGTTGGTGCGATGATCTAGTCAGTTATTGTTGGACAGCCCAGCTCACTGCAATAGCATTATGGGATCGGCATTTTGATTATTACTTTATCATTTGATTTAAATCATACTGTTAACATGAAGATAAAACAGCAGGAAGAAAAGACAAAAGGCACCTTAAAAATGATATATAAACTGTTAAATATTCCACGAAGTGAGATTTAAAAAAAAACAACAACTAAACATCCCAAGAAAGTGTTATGCATAAATACAAGCAATGAAACTTAAACCAATTTGACATAGTCTTTGTTAAGGTTTATTTCTTCGCTATGGTCTGAATATGACAGCAAAAGTAACCCTTTCATTGCCTAATACAGAACTAATGTAAAAAGAATAGGTAACTATAAGCCACCTGGTCTGCTGTGTCAGTTTCATCATTTACGTAACATTTGTTTGTCTTACTGTTGTTAGTTGTATTTAACTGATGACAATGTGAGTAGTTATAATTTTATTCAAACTTGTATGTTAAAGTTCTTGAACAAAGATTTACATACATGAGGTCATTATAAAGAGCAGACCAATGTAAGCACACTTTATATCAAATGAGACCAAGAAATCATCGATAAGGGAATTCATCTTGACAGCACTGTCAGTGGTGAACTGTGTTTTACATGTCTCTGCTGAATCTATGAAGGTAGATATGTTGCAAAATGTGAGAGCTTGTAGAATGAATATGTGAGAGCTTGTAGAATGAATATGTGAGAGCTTGTAGAATGTGATGAGAGCTTGTAGAATGACATGTGAGAGCTTGTAGAATGTGATGTGAGAGCTTGTAGAATGAATATGTGAGAGCTTGTAGAATGTGATGTGAGAGCTTGTAGAATGTGATGTGAGCTTGTAGAATGTGATGTGAGAGCTTGTAGAATGTGATGTGAGAGCTTGTAGAATGTGATGTGAGAGCTTGTAGAATGACATGTGAGAGCTTGTAGAATGAATATGTGAGAGCTTGTAGAATGTGATGTGAGAGCTTGTAGAATGAATATGTGAGAGCTTGTAGAATGTGATGTGAGAGCTTGTAGAATGACATGTGAGAGCTTGTAGAATGTGATGTGAGAGCTTGTAGAATGACATGTGAGAGCTTGTAGAATGAATATGTGAGAGCTTGTAGAATGTGATGTGAGAGCTTGTAGAATGAATATGTGAGAGCTTGTAGAATGTGATGTGAGAGCTTGTAGAATGAATATGTGAGAGCTTGTAGAATGTGATGTGAGAGCTTGTAGAATGACATGTGAGAGCTTGTAGAATGTAGAATGTGATGTGAGAGCTTGTAGAATGTAGAATGTGATGTGAGAGCTTGTAGAATGTGATGTGTGAGCTTGTAGAATGTGATGTGTGAGCTTGTAGAATGACATGTGAGAGCTTGTAGAATGTAGAATGTGATGTGAGAGCTTGTAGAATGTAGAATGTGATGTGTGAGCTTGTAGAATGTAGAATGTGATGTGTGAGCTTGTAGAATGTGATGAGAGAGCTTGTAGAATGACATGTGAGAGCTTGTAGAATGTAGAATGTGATGTGAGAGCTTGTAGAATGTGATGTGAGAGCTTGTAGAATGACATGTGAGAGCTTGTAGAATGTAGAATGTGAGAGCTTGTAGAATGTAGAATGTGATGTGAGAGCTTGTAGAATGTGATGTGAGAGCTTGTAGAATGTAGAATGTGAGAGCTTGTAGAATGTAGAATGTGATGTGAGAGCTTGTAGAATGTGAAACCTGCTGAAAGTTGACAGGTTAATGTGAGTACAAAATGTCTCAAATCCAGCCTTAAGTGTCCACCTGAAGGACACATCATTCAGCAGTATTAAGTAAATGACTTACGCTACTCAACAGCATGTCTTCTTGGCCACTCTTTAAGAGTTGAAATGCAAATGTCTATCAGTTCTGCGGAAGTTAGGTGATGGTTCAACTTTGAGCCCCTTTTTTTTTTGTAGTTCTTTGTGGAGGATCCAGGAGGCTCCATGGAAGAAGTCCAGACAACTGCTCCACATGTGAATCTAACTAATCAAACCCTGTTGAACAACCTGGAAGAAAACCTGGGGGAGGACAAGTTTTATCTGCCAGTAAGTACAACAGGAACACAACAGCTGGAAAAGGTTACATTTGTTTCAATTACTGAACACCAGTATCATACTCATACTCGTGCCGTTACAGCCTATGCCGTAACATTCAGGGAAACATTTCCCATAACCTAAAATAAACCTATTTACATTACATGATGGTGTAAAATCTGCTGCAAGGCATTTGCTGCAGCAGCCTCTCCCATTGTTCACTGTTACAAATATGCATCTCTCTACTTTAAAGGAAAAAGAGCCAGCCGTGTCAATTCTCACAGTTTCACAAGGGAACTTTTATAATGCAGTTGTTTAAATCTGTTGAGATAAGGACATGGATTCAAGCCAGACAAGAAGAAATAGTCCAATCTAAATATTAACTATAGACGTCAGTGACGCCAGGTTGTCTGACATTTGGGGGAATTCCTGAAGCTGGAAGTTTGGATTGTCTTTTGTAAGCATGGGACTGGCCTCCTACAACACTGTATAGAAAGAAAGAAATGATTGTGTCTGTATTTAAATCTCTTTTTGGATAAGCATAAACAAAATGTGATGGTTATATAAGGATATTGACAGATTCTCGGGCTGGTATGTATACTTGTGTTCTGCCCTTGATTCCTAACAATACACTATCTTACCTGACTCAATGCTGTCAGAGCAGTACACAATAAAAAGAACCACACTAAACAAATGAAGCCAAATGTCATCTTTTCTTTGCTTGTATAACTTGTCGAGTACCTCAACTCTTCTCAGATGTGTTTCTTACTCTTTCCATCTCCAGTACTTCATCTACTGCTGCATTCTGGGCCTGGTGTCCTGCTCAGTGTTCCTGAGGATCAACTATGAGCTGAAGATGGTGGTTATGCTGGTCGCCGTGGTGATCTACAACATTATCATTCTCCAGACACACGCCTCATTGTTGGATGGATTTAGCAAAGCACTGTACCAAAAAAATACACTGGACAGGTAGCTGAAAACTGTGCAAAACTAACACACACACGCATGCACACACACACGCACACACACACACACACACACACACACATCATTTTGAGTGATAAAGAAATAATTATTTGGCCTACCAAAGGTCAATGCTATCTGCTTAAAGCCTCCGCCCCTCTCTGACCATGCAGCCAGCTTGTGTAAGCTGAGCACAGAATATGAAAATGACTAATGAGAATGAACCCTGGTTTCCAGAGGGAGAGGTAATGCTGAGGTGGCAGTATCCCGCATGACTGTCAATCCAGTGTAACGCCGGGAGAGGAGGGTGATGAGTGGCAGAATGAGATACAGAAGATTCTTGTATGGAGCTGAATACATTTTTCACATCTGACTGACAGTTGGAGTCTCCAATTCCATTATGCATAAAAAGTTTTCAGAGCAAGACTGAAGGAGAAAGACCAGGAACTTTTTCAGTCCATCATATTTCTGTTTGTTTTTGAGTCTCACTTTGGCCTCATAGCTGAGTATATAACACCATAAATATGACCGTTATGACGAGCTCCACTGACTTTGTATGCACTCATCTCCTGATGTACACACAAGTTATACTGAGTTTATTCATATCAACCATGTGCTTCACTTGAGCTGTGCAGAATTCACAGTTTAGCTTCAGTAGAATCCTGCAGGTGTTAAAATATAGATTTCTAACGTCCCTTGTCATTTCATTGATCCAAACCCTTTACCTCAATATTAATGAATAGACTGTGAAAAGATTGAAAATACATTACCAGGTATTTTTTTTATGATAATACATAAGTTTTACAAATAATAAGTACAGCACATTATTAACTGGTATACCATGAATCTATCATTAAATGTTTTTTTTCTTATCATATTTGATGTCATTAAGTTTCAAAGGAGACAAAAATACAACATTAATATTATTACAGTATTTTCAGTTCCAAAATAGTTTTTTGGAGAGAGAAAAAAAAATAATAATAATTTTTAAATAATTTTTCCCACTTAAACTTTAAAGTTTCCTCTCATTTTTATCTTGAAACGTTTTCTTATTTCATAATGACCTTATCTGTTGTTTAGCACACACAGCTAACTGGCTAATCTTAGTGGACGATAATAGTAATGCATGAGTCAGGGACACTTTTGGGCAGCCAGTTGATACACACTCGATGGACTAGTGGATATTTTTGATGCCATGATGTCCGGCTGACTCTGTAACAAACAGCAGTACCGATGTTGATGTAATCTAATACCATGTGGTTTAGTGTAACTGTGGCTGAGTCATTGTTTGAAACGCTTTTAGACAACACATGAGCCACAATGATGGGGACATGCTCAACAGGCTTTGACAACACAGATAGCACATAGTGGTAGAATCAATTCATTCAAAATTGATAAAAAAAATATCAACAACTGACACCAGAAAATCAATTTTTGAATAATTTGTATTGTCTCTCTTTTTTTTATCCAGGCCAGGAGTGCTTAAGGACCTTAAGACGATGGGCTCCGTGTCTCTTTTCATCTTCTTTATCACGCTGCTGGTGTTAGCAAGACAGGTCAGTTGTTGGAAAGTCTGAAATGATGGTCACTCATTTCCAAGACAAGATCTGGAAGCAAACATATACGTTCAAGGTTTTGCTCAAACCAAAATACTTGTTCCTAATGAACACTTCTTTGTAGCATTGGAAGAGCCAGTCTGGCCAGCTGCCTCTTTTCTGAGCCCAACCCCTCACTTAATATGTGAGCTAAACTCGGCTGACACAGATTTGGTGTTTGTGCTTTATCTTTTTGAGGTATCATCCATCAGCTCTGACCCCAAAGCAGCTGTTCTCAACAGAAAGACTCCCCCAAGAGCTTCTCACTCAAAACTAGGGCTTCCTGAGAGCCACATTTGGTCTAAAAAGCTCCATGTGTTGTTCAGATTCTGGGTCACTGTCAACGTTAGGAGGGGAGCATTTGTTTGGAAGCACAGGTTTGCTGTGGTAAACTCTTTGTAACTGTCATATCTTATTCCAAGCTGCACTCTTATTGAGGTCTTCCAGGATTAATTGGGTTCGTCCACTGGTCGCTCTTTGTGTATTACTTAGCACACTAAAATGCCCAATTAATAATCTCCAAAGAATCCTGACAAGAGGTCGGTTAGTGTGGTGTTGCCAAAGGCTTTTGATGCAAAATTAGCTAAAGTGCTGCCTGATATGAGGGCACAAAGCCTGGGGAGCATTTCACATGCTTTTAGAATACTATTAACACATTTGCCTTGCAAAAAAATTCACCATCAATCCTAATGAGCCAATTTCTAGCAATGTAGTCAGAGGGAGGAGAAAGCAGGTTAGGAGAATGAGGGGCATCTGTAATTCATCCCTCCAGAACAGATGCGCGATGGAGCAAAGCTCATTTACAGGCTTGTTAGCAGAAATGAGCAATGTGTCATCTGGCCTACTTTCTAGACCAAAGGAGGAACTGGAGTTCCTCTCTCCTCAAGAGACGCAAGGACTCAAACTGAAAACACATACTGTATGTATGCACCACATATAGTAGTTCATGCTAACTATCCTTAGCGCGTTATAAGATAGTCATCACTTCTACTTCGGCCTCAGGCAATCAACTCAAAAGAACTGAACTTGAGCACTGAGCGGTATGAACCTACACTGCTGGAGTCTTCTAAATTGGCACCCTGCTTCACTCAGGGGAACAAGTATTCAGTGCACACATACATCATCCAGACTGCTCACTACACACATGATCTATATCTCATATGAGACTGAAACAGCACCCACATACTCTACTGCACATCCATACATACAGTGAGGGGCCAGCTTAATGGTAGCCTAGGGCTCTTGGATATATACGAGGTATGTTACAGGGGAACCCATCTGATACACAAACAATGAATCCCAAGATGTTTTTCTCCCAATAAATACTTCAACCCCTCCAGCGTTAATAAACAAAACACTAAAAAGCAAATACAATGGCTATCCATTATGCAAAACAGTCCTGCCTGCTTAGTGTTTCCTTGGGCGATGAGAGCGAAGCACCTCAGTGTCAATGTAGTCTTACTGAGACATTACTTTTCTATGAATACAAAGAAAGGCCTTCAGTCTCAGTTGGGTATATATTTGCAGAAATCCTACATACCGGTAGTTTCCATTTAGTAGAATCTAGCAGAACTCAATGCAGGCAGCTGATCGATGAGAAACCCCCTTATATCATGGACACATTCCAGTAACCACAGGAGTAATGTATTTGATGCTGACTCATCAACCTTTTTAGTTCCTTTCTTGATAAAGGTTTGGGTTTCTTCAGTGCCATGAAGCTTTGGAGCAGAGTACTGGGTGTTAATGACGCAGGTGTCTTTACTCTGTGTCCTCCTGTAACAGAATGAATATTACTGTAGGTTGGACTTCCTGTGGAGGGACAAGTTCAAGAGGGAGTGTGAGGAGATCGAGACCATGGAGAACCTTAACCGGGTTCTGCTGGAGAATGTTTTACCGGCCCATGTCGCAGAACACTTCCTGGGACGGAACTGGAAAAATGAGGTGAGTTCCTGGTCTAACTATCAAGCTTAGCATAAGTGGGGAAACAACTAGCCTGGAACTCTTGTTGCCACCCTGAGGTTGCCATGCTACATACAGAGACCCTGGAAATGTAGTATGGCTGGTCAACGCGCATTCCAGGACATAACCTTGTAATAATCTTGTTTTTTTTTTCAAATTTGTCTTTTGTATTGATTTGAAGTTATTTAGTCATGTGTGTGCTTTAGTTATTGTAAGTCTGGTTTTGTTACTTTTGGACAGAACCAGGCTAACTTTTTCATTTCATTGCATTTAGCTAAATTCGATAGCTATCCGTGGTTAAATCTGCACACTCAGAGTTGTGTTTGTACACATATTTTGTAAACATATTAATTTGTTTTGCTAAATTTTAACACATGACATGCATCATTTTCTCATTATAAAGTACTAAATACATTTTCATTTTATTACAGTTGACATGCTTGGTATGCTACCTATTAGGGGTGGGAATCAGAGTCCCTACAAAACGATATTATCGCAATACTCGAGACACGATACGATTCTATTGTGATTTTTAACATTTTCCGATATGCTGAGAATTACGATACAATATATTGCGATTAAGATTTTTAATTGCATATTATGTCCAGTACACTAAACTAAATCAAGAACTGTTTTGTCAAATAAGATAAATATTGTCAGTCTGTTCATCTCACTTCAGTCTATTTATTTGTATTTCAGTCTAATTGAACTTGAACATGAGTTCTTAACAATTCAACTTGTTCAAAAATGAATTATGCAACCCCTTCAGCAGTTAAACATTTTAAAAGCATATCTAGAATATAATATGATAAATATCGTTACTTGGTTGCCATGAGACGATATCATATCACCACACAAAATATCGCAATACTGTATCGATTTTTTTACCCCACCTCTACTTCCTATGCATACAATTTGTATTTAATGTAGCCAACTTGCCACCTTTCTATTCTCAAATTCCTCTTAACTTGTTCCATTGCTGTACATTTTTCATCACAACTCTTAAACATCCATCTCACTCTCTGTCTTCCCTATGATGAATCCTGCCTCTATTTTGCTGCTGTGCTAACCCAGTGTCCCCACAGGGATGATTAAAGTTCCACTTTATTTATTTAAAGAGCCAGTGTCATTGTTCAGTGTTAAGCCTGGCTCACACCGCAGGATAATCAGGCCGATTTGAGCTCCGATTCGTCCTTCCCGACAATCGCAGGGTCTCTCCCCACTCAAGGCTGCTCGGACCCGATTATCTGCTCACATTATCTTGTAGTGTGAGTGGTACAAAGATCCAATATTAACGTCCCCGATCTGCCCGGCGATCGTCGGGGATGCCTCGATTTATTTCAAACATGTTTGATATTTAGAATTTTAAATCTTGACGATTACGTCGTGAAAGTGTCCGGCAGAAGTTGTGTGTGTGACTACAATAGAGACAAGGGAGAACTGTAGTCATGGCGACCAGTGGCAGGACCCAGCGTTTTTTTAAGGTTTTTTTTTGTGTTCAGTCCAGATCATCAGTGCAGCACTTTTCTGAAACTTGTATCCATATATCTACGATTGTATCAACTTTCCTGTATCCTACAACAACTTCCACTTCCTTCTCTTTCACCAACCGCCGTCCATTGGAGTTTTCAAATGAAACTTTATTAACAAATGTCAACGCTCCGTCCTGTTTTCACTCATGCAGTGTGAGCTCTCCGGCCGTGCCCGACAATCGGGTCGTACAGTGTGAGCGCATAAAGGTCTGGTCAGGCGTCGTGAACGATTCAGTCGTACAGTGTGAGCTGACATGCCACCCCGACTTTTATACAATCGGGGGGGAAAATGGCACAGTGTGAGCCAGGCTTTAGGCTTTCACCTCAGATCTTTTTTGGGGTTTAGTCATTGAATACACAGAGCATTCATTTTTTTAACTTTCCTTCCCTGGTTCTCGATCAACACAACACACCCAGCTGTTATCTTCTTCTTGCTCATTACCAGGATCTTTACCATCAGTCATACGAGTCGGTGTGTGTGATGTTCGCCTCCATCCCAGACTTCAAAGAGTTTTACACTGAGTCAGATGTCAATAAGGAAGGACTGGAGTGCCTCCGTCTTCTCAACGAGATCATAGCTGACTTTGATGAGGTAAATTCTGCTCACCCGGGCCATCTGACATGAAGAGAAAAATTTGCAGGAAACCATTATCATTATCAGTCAGAGTGTTATTTCCTCTTTCGGTGTGTGCTGTGTTATTTACTGGATTCTTTCTGCATTCTTAGCTGCTGTCCAAACCTAAGTTCAGCGGCGTGGAGAAGATAAAGACCATTGGTAGCACCTACATGGCTGCAACTGGACTCAATGTGACACCAGGACCAGAGTGCTCACAGGCATGCATTAACACACATGGACTCATTTCAAACATATTCACACACAGTTAGAATTATATGAAGCATTCATATTAATATGGAGTGTTCACTGTTTCCTCCAAAATGGAGATCAACGCTTTCAGACCGTCCAGTTTTCATTAGAGCTCATATTTGATAGTAAAAGAACAAGATTCTTTTTTTTCACATGCTCACCCCAATTTCAGGTGCCAGAACGGTGATTATTTTCAGTCAACTTGTCACTTTTCATCAGTGGTCACAACACACGATAAGACTCAAGCATCAAAGTGTTAGTTGCATGGGGAGCTTTGTGTGGGTTGTACTAAAAATGTGTCTCACATAACATTAAAGCATCAGTGAGCTCAAATACATGAGGGAAGTCACTGCAAGGAAATGAGATCATCAAACAGAAATAGAGCAGCATATTTTTTAAAGGAATCTCCTAAGTTGGTAGGAAACATGCCTAATTTTGCTAATGCAATCGTACAAGCCATTGCTACTGTAGCTCACCAGCTGGGTTCTTCAATTTTACACAGAAGGAGCCATCTTAGTCTAGGTGTATATACTGCTATCGATTTGAATAGCTCCTCTGGGACAAATACAGTTTTAGTTGTTTTTTTTTTTGTTTTTTTTAATGTAAACACATTCTTATTCAAACTTGGTTCAGAAACTGGATGAAACACATTTTCTGCATCTCCCTCAGGAACATGACAGACAGTACATGCACATTGGCACCATGGTGGAATTTGCCTTTGCGCTTGTGGGGAAGCTTGATGTTATCAACAAACACTCCTTCAACGACTTCAGACTCAGAATTGGTAAGAAAAATTCTTCACAGAGTGAACATTTTGCTGGGTAATGCTGAGATCTTTTAAATCTTAGGTTAAATTATTGTCTGTCTGAGTTATGAACCTATGGCCCATTGATGAAAGCCCTTTCATGTACAGTATTCTTAGTTATAATAATCTGGGTGTCACAAGCAGATTGAAGTTTAGTGCTTCCTCTATCTCTATACCACATTCTTGGCCAATCTGTTCGAGGCAGAGAGGTGTTCACCAATGAGTCTTGATGTGCTCTCGGTTTCTGCCTGTTACTAGTTTTTACGTGCTTCTGTTTTGATCTGATTTCCACGGCATCTCTCTGAATAATATGTTCTGGACCTGCTGTTCTTTGAAGTGTCTTGATATAACTATATGAATGCAAATCTGTTTATTAATTTTTTTGTATGCAGTATTTATTTAAGTGATATTCATAGCTAAATCATATCTGCTTATCCCTATGGATAACAATGATGTGATGTTGTCTCTAACAACTGTATAATTACAAGTTGCTAGTCAGACTGTAAACAATAGTTGTCTCGGACCGAGAAGTTCTGGGGACTTTTTAAAGAGGAACTATCCGCTAGGGGGTTCCCTGAGAACTACACACCATGGGGACTTTTTTCTGTCTGCATTTGCACCGCCATGGTACCTACTCTGAAGCAGGAGCTAAAAAGGTTCCTCTTAACAGGGTTCTAGGAACTAAAATAGTTCATAGTTCCTGCGGCGCAGGATCAAATGACGTTTTCGGACCACAGGAACTTTCTCATAGTTGAAACCCTACCCCTATATATCAAGTATTGTCATTCAGCGAAATAATATCGAAACATGAGTTTTGGTCCACATCGCCCAGCCCTAATTCAGACGAGACTCAAAACCATCAGAAAAAAATCATGCCCGTATTTCGGCATATAGCCATAAGTTCCACCAAATGCAACAAGATCTTCACAAGTGCAACTTTCTTGTTTATTGCAGAGACTCAGCGATGTGGTTTGTGGTTTGCATTTGTTTTTGCTCAGGGATAAACCATGGCCCAGTGAAAGCAGGAGTTATTGGAGCTCAGAAACCTCAGTACGACATCTGGGGAAACAGTGTCAACGTGGCCAGTAGGATGGAGACTACAGGCGTACTGGGAAAAATACAGGTGGGATGTCTTACAAAAATGCAAAAGCATGTCTTCCAGTATGCTTGTAAACTTCTAATTCCAGTCATTTTTGTTTCTCTTAATACAGGTAACAGAGGAGACAAATTCTATCTTATTGACACTTGGGTACATGTGTTCATGTCGGGGCATCATCAATGTGAAGGGCAAGGGTGACCTGAAGACGTACTTTGTACACACAGAGATGACCCGATCTCTGTCACAAGGGACTGTGATGCCTTGAATATGACAATAACAGAAAAATAAGACTTCAGAACACAAAACACAAACAAAGTTGCTGTAGAAGTGATTTGTCATGCTCTGTAGCTAACACCCATTATCAGAGGCCAGCAGTACAATGGATAGAACCACTTTTGTCCTTAGCAACACAATGTAGAGCTGTGGTGTTGAGGAGCACTGCCACAGTTCTCCAGTGCCGCATTTTGGATGCTTTTCACATCTCAAGTGTAACAAAAGGACTTTGCTCCATGGAGTCTCATCACTGTCTAAAGGAGTGCCTCACTTATGAGAGGTTTGCTACATTAGTGCAGCTCTCGAAGACCTCAGTCACCCATCTGTACAGTACTAGTGGTGTGGAGCTACTTAGCCATGCCAGTGTTAGTGCTTCAGAGCCTTATACTTGAGCAAACTGAGCTGCCTGCTGAGCTGTGCTTTTTTTTTTTTTTTTTTTTGTATCTGCCTGATTGGCACAGAGCGCTGGTTTGTTCCATTTTATTTCCAAATGGATGCTACAATAGTTTATTGTCATATAGAGCAGTTGATGCCAGTATGTCGCCATAGTGGTGGGTAGTTTGCCAAAAACCTGTGAATTGTATTTATAGCTGTAGAGCTGCATTTTGTGTCCCACTGAAGAGGAGGTGGACTCGGGCGCAGGATCCAAGTAGAGGAAAGTAGAGTTTTTCTTTTCTAATTTATCTGGAGACAAACCAACAGCTATGAGTGTAATTGTTCACTGCCATCCTTTTGTTATTCATTAAACATTTGTATATAAATAACCATCTTTTTGTCAGTGTGTGATTGTTTTAGTGCATCCGACAGAAAAGCACCATAAAAGACTCTTCAAAGTATAAACCATTGCACGATCAGCTCACAGGAGTCTAAAGCTGGTAAGATTATTGCTTTGAATGATAGGAGACAATACACGTATATATTTTTGCGGACATGTGTTTATTGTGATCAAAAAAAGCCAGAAAGCATCAGTAATACTGGGTTCTATTTATACAGTAGCAATGTAGCGGTATGTAATGTGTCTTTAGCTGTATGTTCTATTGTTTTTAATCAACAATCTTCCCAAAACAAATAATCCATGTGAACAAGAAGAATCATAAAACTGAATGAACTCAATTAGGTTTGAAGTCTTTGCTTTACACAATCCACTATATTTGACTTTTTCTACAATACCATGACATGTGTATTAGCTCTTAATCATCTTAAATGAACTCTGCACCAAGATTCAAAGACCGCATTATTGCTCAGAATGTAGCCCAAATTTCTACCCGAGTAAAAAGCAAAATAAGAGCCGTTTGTGCTGATTTTTATTTGTGTAGGAGGTTGATCTCAGCTGAGTGGGTTCAGACGAGTTGAGTGATTGCACCATGTGAAGGTAACAAAAACAAATCTAAAACAAAAAAAAAACGGAAGAGCCAATGTTTAGTGGTAAGTATGATCTGACTCAGAAATGTCACTGCCATTTTTCTCATTTCTTCTTTAAGGTCTCTTGCCAGAGAACTAAAAATAAAGTTAGACAAGCTGATAACTGGGGTTTATGAAATCTATAATAATTGGATTTCACAGTTACTCATTATTTTATAAAGTTATTTGAAGTTGGAATTTTTATCATTGACCCATCAAGTAAACTAAAACATTTGCAAAACCACAGCGCTTTATTGGTGACTGCTTTGATAACACATGCAGTGATACTTCAGGTTGTTAAAGAAGGGACTACTGATCCATATCCTTCTTCCACAGTCCAGATAATACCATTTTTCATGAAAAAATCCGCTTTAGTGCTTGCCACCCGTTTGAAAGTAGGATTTGTTTTAAAGATGACAGGAACAGGATGTTGGCCGTACTCTGCAGATGAGCGCACAGGAACAACTCTGGCCTTTTCCTGGGATTAAACAGGACAAGGCAAATATACACACAGTAAATAACAATTCTACAAGAAATTATGTATCAAAAGAAAATCCCAGCCTTATCAGCCTTAATGGGCCAATCACAGATATAGACTGATGTCTTTTTTATTTTAATATATGCAAATAAATGTACTGTTTCAGATTTTTTTCTAACATTCAGAGCTTCTAAATTTTAGAAGTTCAGGCTCAATATGTGCAGAACAGAGAGAGTGCCAGCATCTGGCTGTAGCAGATTCCCTGATTGGTTTTGTATTTGCATACGTAGTTTTGAATTCATATTCAAATGTGAATTCCAGAACAAAAACGTCCTAACTCAGCAAGAGCTGTCACCAATGCTGACGGCCAACCCCTCAACTCTGCGTAATTACACGCTCAGCAGTGTGAGCGGTTTGCTTTGTTCACCACCCTCTCTGCTTTCAGTGACCCAGAAATGCACTCTGAGCTACTTTTCTTGACATGAATAATTACACGATGGAGATGAAACAGAATCAAAAGCAGCCATAAAACTCAGACATATATGTCAGGCTGCACATGGTGACAGTGTTAACAGACTAATAAATAAGGAGCATATTAAAATGTATGTATGCTGTTTATAGAAAAAAATTTCATATTCTACTGAAGTTCCAAAAGCTATATTGCTAATAACATCTTTAAGCTGAAAAAGCTCAAATAAGTAGGACTCTCTTCTAGTGTTCAGGAAACAGTATATCAAGGTGTCAATGCTTATTTTGTTTGCTCTTGGTCAGGGATGGCCAACTTTGGTCACAGCAAGGGCCACATTCATTTAATTCTGACTGCCAGGGGGCCAAATTGTAGGATACTTAAACGATTACAGTCGATTTAACTCAACACATACCAGTGATCATATATTATTATGGACATATTTCTGGTATTCATGATTTCATGGCAGTTTTTTCTGTTTTCTTCATGGTTCCAATTAATTGATGTGTAAAAATTGACCTGAGGGCCACTTTAAGGGTTGATGGGGGTCGCATGTGGCCCCCGGGCCGCCTGATGCCCACCTCTGCTTTAGGTGGTAAAAGTCGGTTTGTGCTTTACTGCAGTTGTTAGCATATTAAATCCAATGCAAATAATGTTTTAACGTCCTCCCAGACTAGAGCTATAGATGCAGCTGTAGGTTGACTCTTTAGTAGTGTTTGGGTTGAATATATAAAATATTAAGAATGAAACAAAGGTCAAATTGAAACAAGCTGAGGAGATGTTGAGCAGTTGCTCTTAATTGATCTTCAAGTGATGAACTGATCATCTTAGGGCTGGCTGGCCCCTGTATTAGGTTTGTTTAATACTGGGAAGTATAAATAGTAAAGTTTCTGAAATACATCAAATTGAAGTTAGGCAAAGCAACACTTTATTTGATCCATCCAGGAATTCAGCTTCATCGTTTGCAACTCCTTTAAATGAAGATAATGAAAACCTAAAACAGTCACTCAATCAATGGAGTCATTACCTCTTCATGTATGTATAGTCCTCTTCCTTTATAGTGTTTTCTGTCATCTCGATGTAGTCGCATATCATATCCCTCAGCCTGATGGAACACATGGTCGTAGGTGGAGATTTCTGGAGCCTTGCAGTGGACAGAAAGTGGGCAGGTTTAATTCAAAGGGGGTACTCAGCCAGAGGCCGGAGTAAGACCTATCCCAGCATATTTCTTACAGTAACACCAAATCAACACTTTGGTAGATCAGTAACCAGTTGTTGTCATTTATTAATTTAAATGATCCTCTTACAAAGTATTAGTTTTACAACATAACTGAAGAGGGGTTTTTCCTTTGTGGCTATATGATCATGGAATATTCCCTCTATTAAGTATACATATTTGTCCTTAATAGGTTAATTTCTTTTTAGCTCAGAAATTAATATTCCTAACTTGATAGAATTGGGTTTTGATGTGAAGACAAACATTTGAGGATGTCTCATGCATTTCAAAGAGTTGTAAATGAGTACTGAAGTACCTGTGTGGATACATAAAGTATGTTAGGCTAATATAATACATTACATGTTAATAATATTCCCTGAGTTCCATTCATAAATTAGGAAGTATGCTAAAATGTCCTTAATTCATTTAACTGAATCAACTCTCCAAATAGTATTATCTTCGACAGCCTTTGTGAAGACTGCACTTAGAATAAATGTATTATTTAGATTGCTCAAGTAGGTTATCATGTTGAATCAATACACAGTCTGTGGTTGAATCTAATGTTTTTAGCTTAAGGCTAACTAGCTTTACTAGCAGTGGGGTTAGCTTATGGCTAAAAACAACGTTCAAATCCCACACTTTACCTGAGAGTCTCTGTTATAGTATGACATTTCTTTTGGTCCTTCACGGCGTGCTGGGATATGACTGAAGGCAGATATGGTGGCGATCGGTTTGGTTTGTGCCTCGAGATATACATCCATCTTAGTGGCTAAAAAACAAATCCACAGATAGTTTGATCCCAGACTGCACGTCCCCTAGAGCGTCGGCGTCTTTGGTTGCTAGGTTACTGATTCACGACGCTGCCACGGCGCGTTGCTGCTGGCCTTCTAGAACGACCGGAATTCTATCACAGTCTTTTTGACTGTTTACAAATTATTTGCATATAATTTCAATAATCAATATCAAATCTAAGAATAAATGTATCTGAAATGTTATGATAGGCAATTGTCCTACATTTCAGGACACCGAAATATAAAATCTAATGAATGTGACATTATATTAGTTAATCCAGAATCACAGAAACAGATATTTTAATTACAGATTCAAACTTTACAATATATATATATATATATATATATATATATATATTTTTTTTTTTTTTTGGTCAAATAAAAACAAACCTTGGATACTTTGGAACTTTTTCCTTGGATGTTAGGATAAAATAACTTGTAAAAACAGCATTAACTTGCATTTCAATGCATAATAAAAATGTAAACATGTCAAACACATTATAGGCCTACCACAAATGGCCAAAACGGTGAATCGGATAACAACATAGGAAAACAACATACAAAATTGTGAAACTGCTTAGTGAGAACAGATATCATGCTGTAAATCATATTGAAAATATCGTGCTCAAAAATCACAAGGGATGTAGCCTAATTCTCCTGCTCACGTTTTATTCTGTTTCAACTGACCCGAGTTTACTCTATTCTGCCTTTTCAGTGTTGTTTGATTCAAATGTATGTCTCCTATTTCTATTTAGTTTTAGGCCGGTACACTTTATTTCCTCCTTGGGTTGATTGTAAAAACAATAGCTCACCTGCTCACCTTCAAGAGCGGGAAAAAGGAGCAAACACTAAAATGATACACTGGCTATAATGCGTGCGGTCAATATGACTGTTATGGCCTTTCAAGGTAGAAATACTCAGAACTCGTTTGAGTTTTGTATCTTGATCACAACCCTGATAACCATTTTTAAACATATCCCGATAGCAATTCTTTTTTTTTTAAATGTAGCCTACCTATATCTATCCCCAGCCAATGCTAAAATCGTGTCCGTAGCTATGAGGACACCAAAATTAGTGTTATGTGCATTTAATCAAATGGGTTTTTAGGATGCCCTATTTAAATTCCAAAGAAGGTGAAGCAATCATAGAGTTTAATATTCTTTGTTAACAGACCACTGATAGTTTAAGAAAAACACCCCCCAAAATCGTGTGGACTGAAATTCTTTCAAATAATTGCTTACTGTACGTTTGTTTGGAGTCAACAGTGACAGCAACACACAGTTCCACTTTTTGTCTTCTTTATGCTAACAACATTCGTCTCTTCAAGGTCCTTCAGGGTTCTTCTACAGTATTGCTTGTAACTCTAGAAGCAGAATCAATTTATATAGTACTGGACAGACTTTGCCTCAAGCACTGTGCAGAATAGGTGGCTATATAATAAGGTATAAACAATCTACCAATCACTCAGCAGTATAGTAATGGTGCACCTGAAATTAACTGGCCAATCTTAGTCTGATTAGGAAAGAGGGACATTTCTAACAACACATCCTCTGTGTATAGATGTTTTATATCCATGCTGTTGTGTGTAGTCTGTAGTTTAGGGAAGTTCACATTTTTCCTTTCTCAGAGTTACTCAAGGAGATTAAAACCATTTTGCTATTTCATATATGAAACTTCTGGCAGGTGATGTTGTATCTTAAAATAAAAACTTTCAAAAGAGGGGGAATAGCTTGCCTGACATTAGGACAAGTGACTGCCTCTCTGCTCCTTGCCTGACAAGGCACCAGTAAGCTGCTGTGCCAAATCGGGAAAGCTCCAGCGCGTAACTTTTGACAGTAATACACCATTTTTTATACTTTAGTTTTTAAATGAATGAATACTCTGCACTTCATTGCTATTTGAATCTATTTTTAGATACTAGACTGCATCCAGTCTTCTCAGGAAATCTAATCTCATCTAAATCTTGTAAAATAAAGGTTGTTATATTTGTTTACCTTCTTCCATCATCGCTGAAACACACTTGCAAATACACTTTATCATTTAGTGTTCTCATCTTGCACAGTGATGGTGACATGAGAAAAGAGGTTAGGAGTTTGATCCCCAGCTCATGCAGACACGTCTGATGTGTCCTTGGGCAAGACACTTAACCCCAAATTGCTCCCTGAGTCCTGAGCAGTTGAGGCCCACTGCTTTGCCCAAGGGCACATTCCCAGCACTAAGGAAAAGAAATGGCACCTTCCCCAGCAACCAGATCAACACTTTGGTCTGTAAAATGAATGCTTATGAGAATATAGAAACCAAACAATCAATCTCACTGCTACTGTTGCCATGTCAACAAATAATGAGTCTCAGTTAGTACCATTATATATTGTACTTGTTAGATTGTAGAAACTTAAATGGAGAGGAGAGAAGACATTAACACGATTCTTCCACAATCCAGCATTATGTTCCCACTGTGAATAAACGTTATAGTTGATCACAAGGACCAGCCTCCCCCTACTGGACATGACCAGTAATACAACAAAATTCACATAAACTTAATTTCCTAAAGATAACACTCAATTAAACAAATTAAATGACCGTGTACAAATGATATGATTTTCTTACCAACTTTTGGTCAGCTGCTCAAAGAAGTCTTATCAACCAAAGATGCCAAAAAAAAAAGTCATTGCATATATTTCCTATACTGAGACCTGTATCTATTGTCAGCATCACGTCTTTGTGGCCTTGGCTCAGTGTTAGAGTCGGCCAACTGAAGGGTTGGTGGTCCTTTCGCCATCTCCTGCAGTCACATGTTGGAGAGTATAAATTGCTCCTGCTGCATAGCCAGCAGTATGTGAATGAATTGTACTGTTGTGCAGTTTGACACTTTCTAACAGCCTGTGCTATGTGGCTTTATTGTGAATGGTTAAATGTGACGTGATGTAAAATCATTTTAAATGAACAGAAGTCTAGAAAACGGCTTTTTAAGTCCAAGGCCATTTGCCATTTGCCATTTTACCATTTCTTGCTCCATCGGCATCACTTTTGTCATAAAGCAGTGGCATAAGGGGGAAAAAAAACATTTTAAGATGACTTAGACTTAGACTTTCTTTATTCTCATTCAAACTTGTACTTTACAGTGCAGATAAGAACAAAATTTCGTTGCATTTGGCTCATTGTAGTGCAGGATGAAAACAGCATCAAGTATTTACATAGAAAAATAAGGTGCAGATATAAATAGATATAAAAAGAAAAACTATGAGTAAAAATACTATACAGATAAATATATTGCACGTTATATTGCGTTTTACAGTCCAGTGAGGTAGTCCTGTGTGGGGGTTTGAGGGGGAATGGAGGGATTATTTTTTCCTGTTCAAAAGTCTTATGGCCTGTGGAAAGAAGCTGTTACAGAACCTGGAAGTTCTGCTTCGGAGGCTGCGGAACCTCTTTCCAGAGTCCAGCAGCGAAAACAGTCCTTGGTGGGGGTGGCAGGTGTCTCTGCTGATTTTCTGAGCCCTGGTCAGACAGCGGATAAACAATAAGCGGATAAACAATAAGCAAGAACTTCATACTCAATTTGTATGTAAGTTATCAAAGCCTTCGCCTGATAAGAGCCATATATTTCTAAATGAATTATTCTACAAGCACATCAGGCCACTAACCCTGTAAGATACTTAAAGAGGAATACTTTGCGTTTCTTTTTACCATGTTTTCTTTATCCAAAGTAAAAACAAATATAAAAAATAAATTGCACGTGTTTGATGAACTGATTTTTGACTTATGTGTTCAAGTATGACCAGTGCCTTATGGCTCATTGTGATTAACTTTTATTAGCCGCAGATTTAATAGAGTTAACTAAGTATAACCCTTTTTTTTCTCAAGTTTTTTCTCAAGCTATAATAATATTATTAAATTATTGTAACTTTCCCCCCACCTTCTTGAACTACTCATATACTGAATGAGTTCTCTGATGTGAAACTGTCTGAAGTGTTTGATTCTGTGTTTGAAGACTGGTATTTACCCCTGATAAAACCTTCACTATGTCTCTGATATTTTTTGACATCAATATATATGCATGTCTCAATGGGTTCTCAATATGTTAATAAATTGTTTAAACTAAGATTGTTCTTTTTATTATAAGGCTACACTTGTATTAGTCTGAATGAAGGAAAGTGTGTGCTTTTGTTTTTAATCTTTGTTTGAGTTAATATAAACATATTGGAGGGGGAACAGCGGGTGTTTTTAGATGTAACACATTTCTCTTGTCATGTGTGTCTTGTAAGCTGCTACTGGATGCTTTGAATATTTCTCTGGATCAATAAAGTATCTATCTATCTATCTATCTATCTATCTATCTATCTATCTATCTATGAGCCTACGAATTCCTAATTTGCATAATACTATTGCAAAGAAACCTTAAGCACAAGCATCATTTTATAGGCCTACTTAAAAAAATGTTTTAAATGACATACTTCAACCAGCAGGTGGCACCAGTGATATACCTCCGCTAACTAAGGTTAAAACCTCAATCAAAACAGCTGACCTTTTCTGATTGGATTGTATCCGGTAGACTTTACAAATCCCTCTGCTCGTCCTCCCTTACGTCTTAGTGAACTAAACATTCACACACTTTTAATGGAACTATCGCAAGAAAAATAATAAAAACACGCAACATAGTGTGTTAGATATCGGAACTCCCTGCCTCTTTCCTTGACAATTAATCGTCGCATAACCGAGACAGCCTTGATTTCACGTCATTTGAATAACTCCGATAAGCCAAATGATTCCCACTTACTTTCACGTCTATGTGTAGTTTTTTACGACTCTTTGGAGTAACATGTCTTGCTCGTCGGTTAAAGTCGGTCACACGCACGTACCGTAATGCGCCGCCCGTCGCTCCTTTTGATGACCCACCGACTGCTCATTTCCGAACGCACGGAGATTCACCGAGCGGCGACCCGGCCCCTCCCGCCCCTCCTCCCCCGCTACAGCCACTCTCCCCTCGGCTCCACTCCCGAGGAGGAACCCGGTGCCCCCCGGCTGATCGTTTCCAATTACGTTACCCTAAGATGGAGGTCTGCAGATGGCACTGCTAGCGTCTGCGAGTCACCGTAACCGTCCTCTGTGTCTTTAATGACATTTTCTCCGGGGAAGAAGTGATTTTGTTGCCACCTTTCTGACATTTTTTTTTTCTCTCGGAGGGATCTTACTTGGGAGATACTGAAGCACGGTTCCCGATCGTGGCAGCCATGAGCTCCGGGGAAGGAGCGGAGGAGACGACGAAGGACGCCAGCGACATAGCGGCGTTCTTCAAGACCGGTAAGCCCCCCCCAAAAAACAATAAGTAAAGAGAGGTCGAAATGAGCTCAACATTGAGCTGCTCCCTTTGCTCCATTGGACATTGTTACCGCTCATGTTGACTGCTTTGAGGGGGGGGGGGGAATCAGACAGTGAGGGGACAAGGGTAGTTTTAAGATGAAATATGTACTGCTCGATGTGTACAGCAAACAGCAATGGCCAACACTGCTGTGGAAAAGGCTAAAAAAAAAAAAATTGTGTTTTGTTAATGTATTTTTCTAACCAACATGTAATCTCAACCCATACGGGCAAGAATAGCCTGGCAACGCTAGCTGGAGCGCTACACGGCCGAGTTCCATCATCGGACATCCTCTCTTGGATCCGGTTTAGTGGCTGCTTAATGTTCCGTGTACTTTTAATCCTATATGTGTTATATGACTTTAGCTGACTAAGACTACTGATACTGTGACACTAGATTAAAGAAAGTAGGTTTGACTAAGTGAAAGTTATGACTAAGGAGAATATAGGATCTAAAAAAGGGGGTATGTTGTACATCCAGCTCCGGACAGACTCGAGCTTAATGAAAGATCACAACTCATAAAAATAAATCACACCTTGACATATGTTGGACTGAATACACTATTTTGACATGGAAAGGAGGTGAGAAGAAGAAGCAGGTCGGGAGGGGGAGGTGTCCGATAATGGGCCTGATGTGTTTGTACCCATAGACTGTATACTGGCGTTCAGTGTTAGCATGTGAGCTAGTGAATCCTGTCTGCTGGTTAGCTCACAAACGCTAGCTGGTTTAGCATCGCTAGCTCGCCTTTTGAGTTAACAAAGCTGGCGTGTATCTTAAACAGCTTGTCGGTGTATTACACACACGGTTGCAAAATGTGCGTCTGGTTTTTAACTTATCATTCCGTGAACTCTTAATTTCTTCGTTTTCCTCTCTGTGCTGCTGCAAAATAAAAAAGCAAAGCTATGCAAGCAATGTAAACAATACATGGCGTGGCATATACAAGGCTGGGGTGTGCACTGTGCAGGAGAAGCTAGCTGTGCAAAAGCTATCGAGGCCATTGGGCTGCACTGTTATCAATATCCCCGTCTGTTGGCTGTGATAAAACGACACTGATTTCTTCATTCACAAGCGATATGCTTTTGGACTTGGTGTCATGCCGCCCCTTTGGTTGTTATGATTGTAACATTAGCTACAGAGGCTAATTAATCTGCATGTAGTTGGTGTGACCTGAAGTCCTGACGCGGGCCTGCAGTGATTTCAGAGGCTGCAACAGACTAATAAACATTTAGTTTTATGTGGGGTTAAGGGTCCTAAAATACATGTTAGTCTACGTTTTGTTTTCCCAGCAGAGGTTAGTGAAACCATGCGTATTGACGACTCATTTCTTATTAATTCCCATATCCCTACACAAATTAAGATCTAAATATATTTTTTTTGTACAAAGTTTAACCCTATATGTCCAACGAGTGTTTCCTGAGATACAGCTCTATGAAATTATTATCTATGGTCGAATGCCTGTTCTTTTGTTGGTCTTTGTCTTGATAAATCTGCAGACCTTAGGGGCTGAACTTGCAATGCCAGATAATCCTCTACCAATTTTTCACTGACTGAAAACAGTGAAATAACTCCAGTGCTCGATGTTATGTCTGCCATTGCCATCAGTAACTCCACTGACTGTGCCAGCTTACTGCTTTATGTTCCTTAACTAACGGAGTTGACTGCTTTTTGTGTTATAAAAGTAGTTATTGAAAGTGTGTATCTCTTGGTGACATGTTCACAATTTGTGATGCTTAACAATGAAGCAGTGGAATAGAATAGTGATGCGCTTTATTTACTGTGTTCAAATCTGACTTTTCTACCACACGGTCATGTTTGCCGTCTACCTTTTTTTTGATATTTTGAAATACAGATAGAGGGGTGTAAACAAGGAAAACAAGCAAAAGTCTTTACATGCAGCCCCTGACTCCTGTGGGTTGAGATAATAAGCACAGTGTATTTATTGAACTTATTCTTTGGCTTCCTGTTCAGGGCGAGTGATGAGAGGCATCCTGAAAACTTGCTTCCAGTTTTGTTGATGGTGTGCAGCTGCTGCCAATCTGCTGAATCTTTGTGATCAGAATGGATGCTCATTCGTTTGTGCAATAACAATATCATTTAGACATGCCACCAATTCTCCATCTGCTTTTTGTGGTAAAAAATAGCTCTTTATTTATAAATAGGGTATAGTTTTTTTTTTTAGAGGAGCAATGGCTCAGTTAATTAGTTTAGTTTGTGATAATGGTTAGATTCTGCTGGATTAAAAGAAAATGTATTGTTGATAAAATCAAGCCATAAGAGTGCCTTTAGGGATGCGGGTAATGAATGCCGCTCTGGTTTAGAAATAATACTCTTTATCATCTTTAACTTTTCATGCCAAACTGCACTTGAGACAGTGTCTTTGTCGGCCCAGTATGGGCACGGATTCAAATCTTACGAAATACAATGTTGTTAAATGTTTCCATTGTATCTTATTGGGTTCAACAAATATGTGTATTTTAAAGCTAAGTAATATTCGAACAATGATGGACATTGTGCCTTGAAAATGTGCTGTCATCCAAGTTTAATATCACTTTGCAATAAGACCCTTCAAGAGCACATGGTTTAGTTTTTGTTTTCTTTGTTTTTGTTTTCACAAAGAGAGAAAAACCACTTGACTTCAGCTATACTTATGCTCCAGTTTATGCAGTATGTGTTACAGGTTGTGGGTTGTAGGCTCAAACAGATAGTGTTAATGTTAAATATGACCCATTTTCTTGTTTTTTTTTTTGTCGTGGTTTGTTGAACCCTGTGAGCACATTTTGCTAATGTGCTGATGTCATTCTGTGCAACTGGACAGTGATTGAGAAAACCGTCTATTACAGTAAGATTTGATTATGATAACTATGGACATAAAATACAAAGGTATCCTTTTGTCTTCTCGCAATCTATAGCAACTTTGGATTTGAGAAATGCTCCTTTCTGATCAGAGTGCCTGGTTTATTCTGTCCAGAATCTGTAGTGAGTCAATAAGTATGGGGAAAAAGCAGAGCATCCTTGTTAAAAGGTCTTCTTGAGACATCTTAATGCAAGTTGTAAAACCAGAAGTGAAACCAATATATGCTTGAGATAGCTCTTTTACAATAAGTTGGAAGGCTTGAGTGTCACATTCAGGCTCCCCTCCTCGTTTTTCTCATGAACATCCTCTCGACATATCTGGAAATCTTGTTGTGACATGCACAGGTTTGAGTGTCTTGCCACAGGCTATGCTTCCCCCCCCACTCTATTCCCATCTCCTTTCTCATATCTTTTTCCATCCTTCGACATTTGGTCTCTTTGTCTCCCCCATGTCCTCCCTCTGTGCTGTCTTCCTCTTTCTCTGTCAATAAATCAATCAATCTTTAGTTGTGTAGTGCCAGTTAATAACACGTTATCTCAAGAGCAGGTAAAAGACCATACTCTTTGGTAAATCTGTGTGATTGCCTGCTGTCTGACAGTTAATTTGCCTAAATCCTCCCTTCATACTGTGTAGTGTTGGGCCTCTCCATCCTGATGCAAAATGACAACTTGTGAAAAAAACGATCTTTCCCCATATCTTTCCCCCGTCTTCCAGACCGGAATTAATACCTAGTCCCATAGCTCTGAAATGGGGAGTTTTGTTGTGTCTGATTGTCAATCATCCAGTTATTTCTCTCCAAACATATATTTGGCTACACTGATGACTAAGAGGCTGATTTAGTGTTGATATCATACAGTTACTACTTGTCAGTGTAGGACATTATTCATATGAGGAAAAAATAAATCTGCCAACCACACTGCTAGGCCGTCATGAATGAATGTTTAGAGGCTGCAACACGCCGTTCACAAGGTATGTCTGTATGTTTGAATGACCATCAGTATGTATGTGTATGTATGTGTGAGTGTGAGTGAGTGAGTGAGTGTGAGTGCGCGCGCCCAGGAAAGTGAGTGAAATAGACAAGCAGGAGAGAGGGAGAGAAATCTGATCCTGAGCATGCATTTATGACTCAGACCCATTCACCCAGGATCAGGTCTACACACACACACACACACACACACACACACACACACACACACACACACACACACACACACACACACACACTCTCATGCAGTCTGAGACTAATGGATATTGATCCAGGAGATGGAGACTGATTGAGGTCCCTCAGTAAAGGTTTCCTGCAGGCTTAAAGCTGCCAAGTCAGACACAGAGCAGATGCTGAAGTCTAATGCTGCTCAAAGCAGATTTCTTTTTATCATCCTGTGTTTATGGGCTGGAGGTAAACAGAGGATTGGTGCATCACAGATCAATGCAAATTAATTATTGAAGGCTAGCTTTATTGTCGCTTTGTTTTACCCCTTCCTTTAGCGCCACTTTTTTTTTCTTTATAACTTGACAGTTAGGTGTTTTTAAAACCATAAAGCTTATTTTCCAGGCCAACACATGTGACACCAGCACTGCATGGTGCGGCTTGGCTAAGGCACTACTAGGTTATGCCGTGACACATTGCTTTTGGTGAAGGTTTCCATTGACAAAAGCTACAGATCGTATCATACATGCACCTATCTTGGTTTCATCTCAAGATATGCCAAGATTTTAAAGGAGCTGAGCTGAAACTTAAAGCGTAAATTAAACCCTGCCAACAACTGATCAGAGAGAATCCTCACCCTGGACAACCCTGCCCACAACTCCATAGTTTTGTAGAGCGGTCTGTGTCGCAGGGCTGCAGTAACTGATTATTTTAGTCACCGAGTAATGTATTGGTTATTCTCGCGATTAATCGAGTAATCGGACCATGCATGGTCAACCCTTTTCTTCCCCCCCATCAAATAACTTGCTTTATTTAAGAGTAATAGGGAGATACAAAAGAGAAAATTAGACAGGTTGGGGCCATATCTAACTTTCAGCTCGACCATGTTGTTAGTCACATCGCTGCATCGTTAACCAGTTGCTCATCTCTGCTTGTAC